CTTCCGATCTCAGGAATTTTCCAAACAAAGAACTTAGAATGTTTCTTCCTCTTTTCAAAACTTACAAAACCCTTGATTTTCCTCTTCTTTTCCCCCCATGTCTTGTAGCGAATTTTCATGTCATCAATCTGTGTATTCTTCCTCTTCTTAATTCCTCGTTCGTTTTCTTCTGATATAACTTTTCTCTCGTTCTTTACAACTGGTTTGCAGATATAAAACAGCGTGTCGCCAAGAAGATGTCGTCATCGTACACAATCTCGTCATCCTCCTCTCATCCGTTCCTCTTCACTGCCGCCGCCGCCGCCCCCACCGGAGAAAACGACTTTAACCGGAAAGAAACGCCGACCATGATGCCACCTCATAATCCCTCGGCTCCACCGCCTAAGAAACGAAGAAATCAACCTGGAAATCCAAGCAAGTACCTCAATTCCATATGCACACACACATATGTATATATTAAAAAAAAAACTATAGACAAGAAAGAGAAGAATTTTCTTGAGCCTATTTTGGTTTTCTATATTAGGGTTTCCATTACTTATCCTCTCCGACAGAAAGAAACCTTCACAAGAGAGCGGATAAGCGTCTTCTTGTCTCGTTTTGCTCGATGATTAATGTCTTAAGTGAACACAGATCCAGATGCGGAAGTGATAGCGTTATCTCCAAAGACGCTAATGACGACGAACAGATTCATATGCGAAGTGTGCAACAAAGGGTTTCAGAGAGAGCAGAACCTTCAACTCCACAGGAGAGGGCACAACCTTCCATGGAAGCTGAAGCAGAAGTCGAACAAGGAAGTGAAGAGGAAAGTGTATCTGTGCCCGGAGCCCACGTGCGTCCACCACGACCCCTCGCGTGCTCTCGGAGACCTCACCGGCATCAAGAAGCATTATTACCGCAAACATGGCGAGAAGAAGTGGAAGTGCGATAAGTGTTCTAAGCGTTACGCTGTTCAATCTGATTGGAAAGCTCACTCTAAGACCTGCGGTACCAAAGAGTATCGATGCGACTGTGGCACCATCTTCTCCCGGTAAGTAATTTTTCAGTATTTGATTCCATTTCCACAATATATATATATATATACATATATATATATATATATATATATATATATTATTTGAATTCAAGGTTCGTTTTTTTAAAAAATATATTTAGTGTCAGTCGTGAACCAACCCTACGCGAAAACTCCACATCGAGGTGAGATTTTATATATATCACCGATGTGAACTGAGGTGGGTTGTCAAAATTTCATCAGCATTGCGTCGGTTACTAAGAACAAAATAGCGAGTGCATGTGTAAGTGCATGTGTGTCTGCATACATATGATTGTCTTATGTGGAATGCCCTCTCGTCTAGGTAAGTAAGTAATAATGCACGTCATTCTGTATGGTAGTCAATACATAATTTTTACACCTTGGTTTTTATAATCTTTTTTTGTTAAGCACCTTGACATATATATAAAAGTTATTTTACGTTAATCTCCTAACCAACACAAAATCATAACAGCGCATCTTGGGTTGGGTATATACAGAACATAAAATATAAACCTCGGAAAGACCGCCTTACGTATGTAGACACACGCTTATAATATATGAATGTAATTGTTTGGTCGTATTCGGGTAGTAAAAAGGAGAAAGACAGTGAGAAGAATGATAAAATAATAAACGATGCTATATTTGGTTTCATGTGAGTAGAATTTGTTTCCATTGCCCCTTTTGTTTTCTTCTTCTTCCCCTTGCAGGTTCCCCTTTTCATGAAACTCCTCTTCTCGTGGACCCCATCCCCCTCTTTCTCTCTCTATATCTATCTATATACATAATATATATTTACATATACACATGCATGTGTGTGTATAAGTATCTTTTGGGTGGAGGGAGTTTCTCTGATCTTAGTTAACAGTGGTCAATACGAGAGGGGCAGTGGTTGATGGCCACTTACTTGGGTTTTTAGGGTTCTTCTTTCATGATTTTAGTAAAATATTCTTTCAGCAATTGACAGAATTTAGGCGACATTCATGGGTTTCGCATTAATTGAAGAATGTTTTTTCACCAAACTAGTAAGCCACTCGGCCTCTCCATTTCGCCCTAGCATGCTCCCTCTTTCAGGAAATAATAATGATAATGGTAATCACCAATGCATTTAATACTTTGGTCGAAGTTCTAACTCTCACGTACTTGATATGCATGCGTCTAAAGTAATTATGTGTTGTACTTTGAATGTATAATGAGGGGTTCTGCATGGTTATCTATACATAATTATCTGTGTATATACGTTTGTTTTTTTTGTAGAACCAAACTTATACTAAGAATTAATGGGCTTTTTAATTTATTGGTTTGTAGACGAGACAGTTTCATCACCCACAGAGCTTTCTGCGACGCATTAATGCAAGAGACTGCCAGAAACCCTACCGTGAGCTTCACGGCAATGGCTGCCGCCGGCGGCGGTAGCACTGGCAGACATGGCTTTTACGGGCCGAGACTTGGCGGCGGATCTCTCTCCCAAAGCATAGGTAACTCTTCAAATTCCAGTTTTACCCCTGTTGGAAGTTACAACCTAAACCGTACGTTTTCCGACAACAACATGCAAAGACTTGGAGTTGGTACGGACAGAGCTGACAAGTTCGGAGGCTTTATGTCTCATGTGCCAAACCCTAATTCCTCTGCCTTCTTCATGCAATGTCCGTCGAGCCAAGGATTAATGAATCCTAACGATCCAAGTTTCATGAACCAACACGGTCTGCTTCAGTTAGATCCGACTAATCTCCATATCAACCCCAACGGGAACAATAACAACAACCACAACGACTTCTTCAACCTCGGATTCTTTCAAGAAAACAACGCCAAGAACTCCGAGACGAATGTTATATATAGCGACGGCTTGGTCAATCATCAACATCATCATCAACAAGACAACTTGAACACGTCATCCAACATGTCCGCGACTGCTCTGCTTCAGAAAGCTACTCAGATAGGTTCAACCGTAATGGCAACCGCTAACAACAATGACCCTTCTGCTTTGTTCAGAGGGTTAGTATCTTCTTCTTCGTCGACTGCAGTGGACGTTGACAAGTTCGGAGGACAGACGGAGAACGATAATGACCACCTTCAAGGCCTCATGAACTCTCTCGCTGGCGGCGGCGGCGGCATATTCGACGCTCACTTTGGAGATAACCCTAATATCTGCGGCTCTGATAAGCTAACGTTGGATCTTCTTGGAGTTGGTGGAATGATGAGAAGCGTTACCGGAGGGGGCGGTGGACGTGGCCGTGGTTCTTTCGATGCCGAGATTAAATTTTCTCAGCCGAATCATCCGTTCCGAAGACCTTGAATTTCAAGAACTTTTAGGTTACCGGAAAAAGAATTTCGCTCTTTGGTTTTTTTCTTCTTCTTTCTATGGGAATATTTGCTCTTTGGTATGTTGTTTTCAAATGTAGAAATTAAGTGTTTTAGGTTGAGACCTTAGGGCAGGTAAATGTTGTTTTAAGTTGTTCAAATATGGATAACATATGGTAAGTTTAGCTACTCCATGCAAACAATTAATTAGTTGTGCCCTAATCATTTAATTTCCTGCTCGATTCTTACCGAATTAATGCGAATACGTTAATTTCTTAAACTAAACCTTTGTACCAAAATAATGTTTAACATGTACAGTTAGCAGGAAGAAGATTTGTACATAGAGATCTTATGAGTGTAAAGAAAAAAGTTATCCAATCCCACATGATTGAATATACAAATGAGCAAACGCTAAGCGTCAACACCGACCTAGGTTTTTGAAGACATATAAAAAGGTGACACTTATTAATATTATATACCTAACACAATCTATCATAGTAAAACATAATCTAAAAGGGACAAACCTATTAATTACCATATTGCTTACATGTATCGAAATTAGACATGCAACTTAAAACACACACACACACACACACACACATATATATATATATATATTCATACATTAAATTAATCAGAGCTTTAAAAATACACCACAGCCCACGTTGCACATGCAAGTATGAGCAGATCTCAAGATATATTTGTCTACAATTATATACCGACCGGATCGGATATATACCAAGTACAAAGAGAAACATCCAACATTCCAACATTATTCAAAGGCATGTTGTGATTTAATTAGTATGGTGTGTTATTATTATAATTGTCATCTAGATATCTGGAATTATATCTTGAAGTATTTTATGTCCTTTTAGGTTGGTTGCGGCGATCCCCACAGGTTTGCTACGAAATAATAATTGTATAACAATGGTTGTAAGTGAATCAACGAGGGATATTAAAGTAAGAATTAAAATGTAATTCCCCCTTAGATATTTTATATGTTTACTGACTTGGACATTCTTACTGGCTGTAGACAAACTAGGGCTTATTTTTATTTATTTATTGCACATTAGCTACTACTGGCCCGTCTGACAATATATGCTTTTGGATCTTATTCGATAACGAATAATATGTTCCCAATATTTGCTAAAATATATGAATATCAACTCGCTCTAATAAGCTTTGGAAGTCTGAATGGAGAGATACTACAAAATTGAACAACATAATTAATTCACAATAAATTCCACGAGAGGTTCAATTCTCCAAAATGTACCCAATCTCTCTTCATCACGTATAGATTCCTTGTGAAACTCAAAGACTTCTTCCTTCTTGGAAATCTCATATGCTTATCCAAATCTTGAAAGACTCATAATGTCAAAAGTCTTGACGTTACGTCAATATTAACGGCGTCCATTTTTTTTTAATAATTAAAATGGGTCAACATTCACTAGAAAAAATGTTCAAATTAACAATGTGATTTGTGGCTTTTGCCGTCACCCTCATGGCATTTCTTCAATTAGTGATGACGTGAATAGTTGGTAACTGTTTTATATATATATATATGTATGTATAGATGTTCAGCCACCTAATCCAACAAGGCAATTATAATTAGTACCTAATTACGAATTTATGTGAGAATTAAATAAAAGAACGTTTTTGGGGCTCAATAAAAAAAACAACAAATGAAGCTTCGTGCTGAAGTTAAGGCAGATGTTGTTGACATTCTGAAGACATAACTCAACTCGATTCTATTCGTCTTTATTGTTGCTTTTTCGCGTTGACTGTACCTCCTCAATTTCCATGTCGTAATCCAAGTTTCTTACATACAAGACGAGACGGCGTATGATTTTAATTGCAACCAAAAAAAAGATGACCCTTTGATGACAACATATTGAAATTCTTTACCGACAAAACAATCGGCAAGGACGCAAACAACCGAATTCACGGAACACTCGCACGGGTTTTTACAGGCTGGTAAACTTAATTATTACCATTTTGTCATTTTTATTTACAAACCCAGATATGTATTATGTCTGCAAACTAATGGATCTAATAATGAAAATGGGAGAAAGGGAAGGAAGTCCATGTGAATGGCAGTCTTGTCGTTTTATAAAAATAACCCGTGAAGACATTTGTCGAGATAAAGTCGATGAATACTACAAATTCTTTTGGAGATTTCGCCCCTTTAGTGTTGGTCCACTTCTTCATCATGGGGCTACCTCAATTGGGTCACACATGTGTATATGTGCAAACCCAAATACATAAAATATGTATTTATGTGTATGTATATGATACATTTACGTGGTAAATTCCTCTTTTGAAATCTGAATTTGATAGCTTTACTAAAGAACGTGATGAGAACTGATTTATTTAGATCCCCAATGCAACGTTCGATTTGCATATTGAGATGTCGAATCAGTTCTCCTTCTTTTAAGAGAGAACGCGAAGCTTTATTATTACCACTTTCACATCCCAAAAAGGTGGAAAGATGTGTAGCGTTTAGATTTAGAGGTAGGACCGGTGAATGGGGTTTAGAAAAGTTTTTTTTTTTCAAATTATTTTTTTTATATATGTTTTAAAATTTCTGTATTTATTTTCAATTCTGATTCAAACCGTGTTAGAAAATCAATTCAGTTTTTTTTTTAATAAAAAAAATCATATTCATTTCCAACGCACTATTTCATTCTGATTTAGCAACACACAAAATTTGTGAATGAAAACATAACATATACATATTTTCTTATTTTGACGGAATTAATATTCAAATTGTCTCGATAATATATTGAATTAATGGTAGACATGCAAAGGAATAATGAGATAATTCAAAGAGAAAAATCAACCTCATTCTACAACGCAAACTAATTAAGCAACAGGAGAGGGGATTTCTACCTATAGATTAATTAATTTTTTCATAAGATGACCAAAACAAAATATAAAATAAAACAAAACAAAATCAGGAAGAACAAAAAAGGGGGGGGGAACATGAGCTGATTTGAGCTCTGTCTGTTTTTGGTGAGACATGGCGATCGTCTCCTCGTTGCATGTCGATGGGCCTCCTTACCTCGATCCCTTTGCACCGGTGTCCCTACAATTATTCGTTTCTATATTATTATCATTGTATCATTCCCAATAATTATGAAAAGACACATACCTCATTTAAAAAAAAATAGTTTAAATCCCTTTTTCCTCTCTATGGGACGGTTGATTAATTGAGGGGATTTTTTTAATCATACAAATAAAGTTCGATATGAACAATATATATGCATGTGTGTGTGTGATGTGTATATATACACTCGATTGTATAACTATAGCTAAAAAAGGACCCACCAAACACACTCAAAAGAACTGGCCAGTTATTTTCGATTATTATCATTAAAACGAGGATATACGTTTATTAATCTTAGGCCGGTAAAATTTAAATATAACATAGACAAGAAAGGACCATTTGCATATATACGTATACTCAGCAATAATGGTAATAGATATGCGTATATGCGTGTGTATAGGTATATTATATAAGAGAGAGAGAGAGGGATTTAAAAAGAGGGCATCACGGGAGGAACACTCGTGACACTGCCAGCTGGCCCCGTAACGATGACAAATGAAGAAGGAAAAAACGAACAAAAAAGGCAAATAAAAGAAAATAAAAACAAAAAGACAAGAAACCCAACAAAAGCTGCTTGATAGTCCCCAACTCATTGACTGCCCCATGCAATGATAAGACGATAAATGTGTCAGGTAAAAAAAAAAATATTTCAAAAACTTTTTCACCCCAATTGAAAACCAAATTTTAAAAACAATGCCTATTTACTTGGAAACTATATGTTCCTCGATATTACACAAAAACCAAGACGTATCAGTTTACTTACTCGTAATAACCTCGATTATTATTGCGTTCTTATAATTTGATTTTATAATCACGCACATATCAACACTAAAAAACTAACAGCAATATGAACTGTAGTTGAACCACAAACGTAAACATGCATATCGATCATGCATGCGTAGATACACGCGTGTTATATATATATATATATATATATATATATATAGTTCTCAAAATAATATATTAGCGCGCGGGTAAACTCATGCCATATTAATCATACGTGATATAGTCTGAAAACTGGACGTTTAGATTAATCGAAACGGTGACTAAATCTTTGTGTTTGACACTGAGTTTAAAAAAAAGTTACATGCATACCTGAAAGAAGCACCTTATATGGTCTTAGTAGTGATCTCCTAGAAACTTCCATGATGAACTCCGTACTGCGGGCTTGTCGGAGCACCGGCCATGCTGTTTCTGTCGTCTGCAGAATCCGATGAACCCAAACGGTCTCTCTCTAGCTGCGTTTGCGATTGCGGCTGCGTCTGCGTCTGCGGCTGAAACCCTCCGCCGCCGCTCATGCTCCGTACGATCTGTCCTACGCCGAGGAAGTCTCTCGTCATATCCTGCTTATCCACACTACTTCCCTTACTCCCTCCGTAGGAACCGAACGGAGAATCCATTGGAGCAGAGAAGGAGTTCATCAAGTCGTGAAAGTTGCTATCGTTTTCACCGTAGACTCCACCACCAAAGCTCCTCAAGATCGAGGAAGCGTTGTTGTTATTGTTGTTGTTGGCATTTGACGTTGAACCCATCCGAGCAGCTTTTTGAAGAAGTGCGGTGGCTGACATGTGAGAGTTAGAACTGGGATGTTGCATGGAGGAGCTGAAAAGGGAAGGGACCGCGGTTGAGTTTATGCGATCCGTCGTGCTCAAGAGGCTGTTTGGGAAGAGACCGGTGCTGGTGGACCCATCACCTCCGCCAGCCGCCGCGTTTTCGCTGTCGAAAGGATTCGATATCACTAAATTGCCCGATGAAACTGCGGAGTTGTTGCTTGTCTGAACGTTGTTGTTGTTGCCGGAGAAGAAGCTAAGGTTGAAGAGGTTGTGAGAAGGAGAATTATGGACATCCGAGAACTGCATGAGACCGTGTTGAAAAGTCAACGTTTTGTTGTTCGCCGCCGCCAAAAATCCTTGGTGGTGATGAGAGCTCGTGTCTTGTTCGTGAAAACTAGGGTTTTGGTCTTGCATGAAGAAACTGGAGGCATTGGTAGGAGGAGGAGGGAGGAGATCGGAGGAGCGAGAGGCGGATACTCCTCCACCGCCGGCGCCACCGCTTCCGAGGCGGAGAACGTCGACATTTTGATTGGGGTGGTGGTGAAGATCAAGATTCTGTGGGGCCCCCATTTGGGACAGAGCGAGCATCATGTTGGAAGCGTTGTTGTTGCTGGGGTTGGTGGTGTTGCTATTGGTGTTGTTATGTCCGTACGGGAAGTGATGACTTGGCAGAGACGTCAAAGAAGTTGGGTGTCTCGCACTTTCCTGAGCCAACGCGTCACAGAACGCTCTGTGTGTGATGAAACTGTCGCGCCTGTGACATTTTCGCAATTATTTGAGCCACCAAATGGAATCTATTATATCATCATCATGTATATACACACATATGCACATGCACGTACGTATATATATACACGCGTACGTAAATCCGAAAAGGAGGAAAAAAAAGATGATGAAAACTTTTGAAAGCATGCAACAGTAGAGGCTCATCATGTCTGGTAGCAACAAAATAGATTCGCGTGCAATTATGGGATATTGAAAAGTGGATTGCTAGAAAGATATTCTGGCACTCTATGCGTATAGTCTCCTATATGGTACTTGTATTGATTACGAGCAAATACACATGTATATATATATATATATTATAAGTGTATATATATGTCACACGGAATCATATATGAACAAGAACATATATACACAAACTCGGATAAGAGTACTACGTTGTGTCACCCACCCACCATGCTGATGCATGTTGTCTGTTCGTACATACACACTCACGTACACATATATTGATAAATGAGTATATAATAGTTTACTTATTCATGTATGGAGTTAAAAAAAATATATGGGGAATCCCAACTTAGACATAATGCATGTGATGGTTCCAATAGAGAGATAATTAATAGAAACTATTTTTGTACATACTATGCGTGTATATATATATATATATATATATATATATATAGATGATCTACGAGCTCAAAGAACAAAAGTTAAATGCAGGTCAGATCGCATCAAATAATATAACTTATGACACTAAAAAAGTATATCGAACTTCGAAACATATTAAAATTTGTTTCAAGCAAAATTAAGAAATCGAAAAATCCAATTTCACAAACAGAATAAAATTTCAGGCCATGTTTTTCCATGGCAATGCATATGGATTATAACAAAGACAAGCACAAGACGATAAACAAGCTCCATAAACTCTGATAATTCTATATGTACAATTTTTTATTTTTATATAAAAAAAATTATATAAGACACACATGGTTTTCTGATCAAAGCTCAGATAATTAAGAGACAAAAACAATTCTGATTAACATTAATTTTAGAGAAATCACACAATTTACTCAGTTTGCGAATGAGTTTTTTTTTTTGTGTGAATGTGTAATATATATTAAATGCATAAATTAATTAGAGTAGGTAATTAAAGAAAGTTGAAAAATAGAGAGAATGATTGGTCAATCACTAGCTGAATCTCTTCAGTTCAAGATCCCCCAATGTTCAATAAATGCAACTAGAGTATGTTTTCAAAGAACCTCCTACTTATCATTCTCTTTCTATCTCAGTCCATTGCAGACCCCTTCACACACACACACACCACATATATATATACATATAATGTCACAAAAAAAAAATGTGTCAAGAACTTAATTAAGATTGTTCCAAGTCTCGAACCAACGGTATATCGTCGTCCGTGTGAACATTATTAAGAAAATTAGACCCACATCTGGGGTACCCAATATTTTAAAAGATAAAATAAATTTGTATGCACAATGGGTTTAAATAAGATGAAAAGGCGAGTTGCTAGTTTTCTCGGAAATTTTCCACTAATCAAAATTTATAACTTCAGAACTTGTATACTTGAGATGTAGTACATATTTTATGCAAGAAATATATTGAAGATAGTGTGTTAGGTTATATGATGCAGATGAGTAGCAATGCATCATGCGTATACTTACGTATATGTCGGCATATATACACGCACTACAGAACAAACACTATAACAACAACCTCTCTAGATATCATATGGTTTAGCGGCACGTGAATTGCCCCAAAAAAAAAAAATAGAATTTCAGATTTATACATATATGCATATATTTATAAATGATTTTGCTGACAAATATTTATTATATTTACAGAAAATGAGGGCGATGTTTCCAAGGCAAATATATAGAAAGAAAAAAGAAAGTTGAAATTGGTCTTCTATGGTTTGAGTTTGTGCTAGAAAGCGTTTTGAAAGACCCATGGCAGTTTCAGTGTCTTATATCCATTATATATATATGTGTGTATTCATATTCACGTGTGACCATATTTTACCACGTCAGAGTAAAAAAAAAAAGGGAAGAATGATTAGTATTTATTTTAAAATTAATAAAAAAATATGGGTTTCTAAGGCAGAAAAAAAGAAGAAGAAGAAGATGCCCAATTTCAAGAAAGAAACCGAAGAAAGTGCATTTATTACACAAGAAAGCGATAACAGCATCGAAGACTTCGAGGCAAAACAGAAAGAAAACCTAAAAAACCCTAACCCAAGAAGAATGATTCACAGATTCACAGTCATGTATGTTCACACACACTTGCATACATACATATATATATATATATATATATATAGAGAGAGAGAGAGAGAGAGAAACTCGTTTTCGGCATCACACGAGCAAAGCCAGGCACAGACAGACAAACAAGAACACCAAAACACACATGGGATGCACTAATTAACCATGGATTACCCAAGAATATATTATTAATGTATATAAAGAATTGAAATATTGAATCAGAAATAGTGTGGATTAGAGTTTAATTACCGGGAGAAGATGGTGCCACAGTCGCATCGATACTCTTTGGTACCGCAGGTCTTAGAGTGAGCTTTCCAATCAGATTGAACAGCGTAACGCTTAGAACACTTATCGCACTTCCACTTCTTCTCGCCATGTTTGCGGTAATAATGCTTCTTGATGCCGGTGAGATCTCCGAGCGCACGTGAGGGGTCGTGGTGGACGCACGTGGGCTCCGGGCACAGATACACTTTCCTCTTCACTTCCTTGTTCGATTTCTGCTTCAGCTTCCATGGAAGGTTGTGCCCTCTCCTGTGGAGTTGCAGGTTCTGCTCTCTCTGAAACCCTTTGTTGCACACTTCGCATATGAATCTGTTCGTCGCCATTAGCGTCTTTGGAGATAAAGCTATCACTTCCGCATCTGAATCTGCTTCCAGAGGTTTTTTTTGTGTTGTGTAATAAAAGAGACAAAGAGTAAGAAGTTTGAAGAGAGAGCTTTAATAAGATTCGGAGTAATCAATACTCCCTGAATATGCATGTGAGAAACGCAATTCAAACAAAAACTAGGGTTTTTTATTTCTAAATCGAGGTTTGTTTCTTCTTGAAAAACCTAAGACCAAAAAGAGAGAATCTGTTTTAGAAAAAACCGATCTAGTAAGTGACAAAGATGACCCATTAGAAAAAGTCTATAGAAGATTTCTTGCGAGAAAAGCGTGAATTTGGAAAAAAGGAATAAGAGAAAAGAGATTAATTTCGTATGAAGAGGAACTTGCTTGGTGTTCTTGGTTGGTTTCTCTTCTTCTTCTGCGGCGGAGCTTCCGGCAACGGAGGCGGCGGCTGAGGAAGACCGGCGACGGCGGAGGGATTCTGGAGAGGAATTGGAGATTGATCTTCTTGCCTTACTCCAAAAAACGAAGCGGCCGATGATGAAGAAGCCGCCATGTCACTTCTTCTTAATCTTGAAGCTCTTAAGCAGCCCCCTTTTTTTTGTGTTTTGCTTCTTCTCCTTCTTGTTGTTGTTTGTGATGGTGAGAGAAGAAAAGAGAAATGAAACTACACAGAAGAAACTCCCAACATTAAATTCTTTTTTGACTTCCACTGATATCTTATCTGAAAAAATGCCCTAAAAATGGGCAATTCGTGATTTTTAAAATTTTGTGTGTAAATAACTCAAATCCAAAATAAAAAGGGAGGAAAACGAAAGATTATATATATACAACAATTTAAATAAGAGAGAGAGAGAGAGATTGATATTTGTACATCATGGAGATGAAACGGAAATTAGGAGAAAGTGGGGAAGTGAAAGAAAGAATCTCACCCGATTTACATTCATATATATACACACACACACACACATATACATATATATCATAAGCAATATTATTCAAGACAAAACAACACAAGGGTACATGGTTCAAATTCTAAAATATTTACATTTTAAATTATTTTTTGTGATTTTATAATAGATACAAATAAAATTGTACAGACTACGTATTAATACAAACATATTTGTCAATTGTCACTCTGATTCGTACCACTGATTTGAATACTTCAAATATAAGAAATTTCATATAATCATTTAAAAAATTTGTTATATAAAAGTATATTATGTATATATATATGCATATATGTATATACCCTTTGAAGAAAAATATTCTCTACAATTTGGTGTCGCCTATATGGACTTACACATATACAGAGATATTATTTTTTAGATTTTTTTTTAAATTGAGGAATTTAAAAAAAAAAATAGAGAGGTGAGGAGAAAGTATGAGAGCTACAGAGGTCGGTGGACCCAATCCATTTGCCGCAAAACGACAGAGTATGGTGCGTGAGACAACCCTCACCAGCTCCTCTCTCTCTCTCTTCCTTACCAATACTTACGTACTTACACTACTCATCGATATATACATATTGCATATTGCCTCTAGTCCTATAAATATACATATACACACACACATAAACATTTATCACTCATTCCATTAACTTGTATGTATCTTCGAAAATCTGTAGTATTTTATATATTTTTTTCTAATCAGGAGATTTTCATTCCGCTAAACAACGACATAATAGTGTCATGCCATCGTCGTCACCATTATCAGCTCATATGGCCCCTTTTCATGGTTTTAAAAAAGTTCACATCTCTCCCTCTCTCTCTCTATATATATATATATACACAGTCCATGACTCCATGTTATGCCATCTATATGACTACATGATATAATAACTATGTGTCGTAGGTATATATATATACATATCTTATAATGAGGTGAGTTGAAACTAAAAAGAAATATTCCAAAGATAAAAGGACAAGGAAGAATGATTGTAAATATTTTCAAAGCATGTGGTACAGTAAAAAAAAAAGGACATTTCATTTTTAACTATACATTTCGTTCGTTCTTCCCAAACTCAAGCAATTGGTTGCTAGAAAACAAATAAATCGGTATACAATGTAGCTCAATTGAGGATCATATTGTCTATCTTTTACGGAAAAAGGAAAAATTTTAAAATTTAAAAATATCTCGATAAATTAGCATATCAGTTACATCATATAGGAGATTTTAGTGGAATAACAAAAAAAAAGTGAAATTGATAAAATGACATTTATAAAAAAAATCAATAATATTTTTGGTTATTTAAAAAGTTTTGTCGTTACGGTTTAGGTTGTAATTTAGGATTTAGTTTTTTAAAAACGTTTTTGTGATTTTATATGTAAATAACAGTTAGTTTCCAAATAATATTTAAATAAAACATTATTTTTCCAATTATTATGTTTGTTATATTACTAATTGACCCTATAATATCATGTACTTATATTATATACATGTTTACTTGTGAAAATTATTTTAAGCGATCTAACGATACATAATGAGAATTATATCATAACCATTTAGAACCGATCATATATATAATTAATGTTGATTTTTAAAGGATACCATCCTAATTAAAAATGTTCTGCAAAATTTTATGTTCTCTTTTTGACTGTAACCACGGACGAGTCCATTCACACTCTTATGTACATTGTCAATTATGAAAAAAAAAATGAAAAGTTTCTCCTGCGTTCGTTGAATAAAATTATATTTTATCATAATATATATCATTTCGAATTCTACATTTAAAGCAAGTGTCATTCCCTATAACAATGACATCTTAACCATAACCTTCCCTTTCACACTCGTCTATATAATATATAGTAATTTATTAAAGATATTTACTAGTCATCGAGGCATTTAAAATGCATAATTAATATATTTCATATCTTAACACGATTTTCTTTCAATCATACATATATGGCTTCTCCACAACTGTAACTTGATAAAAACTTAAAATCAAATATATTTAGTTGAACATAGGCATTTACATGCCATATATATATATATATATATATATATATATATATATGATTAAGATAGACTAGGATTAGAAATTGTACCTCATTCGTCACGAGGCCTTTTTATTCTTGTTGTATCTCGGACCAAAAAAATCAACAGCTTCATCTGATGTCTTTCACTCACTTTTATCTTTGACCCGTGAAGATTTTTAATTAGTGTATCCCACGAGACAGAAGGCTTTGCCTCTATATATACACACACAATATGTAGTGTGTATGTGTGAGCGTACCTGTGTATATAAAGGAGAAAAAAGAGATAATTACGCGAGAAGAACATTAATTACTTCAATTAATTTCTAACAAGCTTTGAAATTATTACCAAAAAGACTGCAAACGGTTTTTTTTCATTATTAGTGAAATGACAAAGATAGCCTTAGGTTCTCAGAGAAGCTGGCAAGCTGCGGTATCCGGATGGGTAGTATGGTAATATTAGCATCTGCTTGTTTTTTTGGTAATTTAACAGCGGCTTTGGGTCCTAACAACAATTAGCCGCGTGTAAGGCAAGTTCTGAAATACATATCTGGAATATTTTAATGCCAATAAAATTTATTCTCTTATTCGAACGTATGACCGTTACAGGAAAAAAAAGTAATTAATTATATATACATGTATATTTGAAGTTATGGGCCATTCATTTTAAAGAAAATTACCCGAAAGCCCAAATTGAGCAAAAATGATCTAAAAAGCTACGAATTTCATTTTTACTCGTAAAAATTCGAATTGGGAAAATGCCAAGTATCCATATTCTTTTTTGTGGCTATTTTCCTGAACTGAGTTATTGGCAACAATACTATAAAATTTAGTCGTAACGAATTTACAATAATAACCTTCATCCAGAGACAAATCTCAAGTGGGTTAGAATTTCAGATATTTTGTAATGGAATCATTCGATTTTAATTTTTAACGTGATCATATTTGATATTCGGTCCATTCCATTCCATGGGTCCCACGACGATTATCACGTCTCAGAAATGAGTAATTTTCACGTGTCGTCGTTTTGATCCGAGCGACTAATTTAGTAGAAATGGACCGCAATCCAATTTTTGGACATATCAAAAGCTCTTGGTGGCCCTCTTCTTAATGTCTTGTATAGAATTAAATGATTTCAACATACAAAGTATAAGATAAAGTACAATTAGACAAATTTATGCTAAACCCAGTTTTTGAATAACTATTCTACCACCGGAGATGGCAACGAAAACCACATAATAACACCCTCTCCAGCTACTTACATTACATGAGGACTTATATCCACATGTCCCAAAACCGCACACAGCTGTCGGAATTTTTGCGGTTCTCAAGACGTCAAATCCGAGAAGCCTGCCTGTTAGGACAGGAAACATGTCATTTCCCACCATTTGTTTTAGAGAAAACGACCGACCGAATACAGCTTACCTTCCGATTCCTTCTCTCTGTGGGAATTTTTTCAGGACTGTGAACAGTAATATAACTTCAGTCTTCTTGTGATGCTTCTGGTGGGTCACTTTCTTCATCCTCGGTGTCATAATGCCGGAGAGAATCGAGACTGTAAACATTTAACATTCATATGACCATTGACGAATCGGTTTCAAAAACTGCGACAAATTAAAAAATCTTAGAGAGAATGTCACCAAAGGGTGCAGTACCTGCAGTTCTGAGGGACCGTCCATGTAAAACCCGAGGATCGTTTCAGATGTAGCGGCAGAGACATGAAATCCCTCCAGTCTTGAAGCATGATTCTTAGATCATGAAGCTTACTGTCCATACCATAGCAGCAATTCGCATGCATTGTGCAAACTAGATTCATATCTCTGCTGGGTTCACACAGACCACCGAAATAGACGGTATTCAAGAACCTCATCCTCAGCCCAATGCGGAAAATGAAGGGTTCGGTCTTGAGAAAGTTAAGGACATCCTGGTCGTGATACCCAGGATACCTTAGTCGTGAAGCATACCAGTATTTGTAGAACAATATAGTCCGGTTGTTGGACCTAACGAAGTTAAACCCTCCATTTGGTCTGTTCTGTATATCATTTGATCTTCCAAGGAAATGATCACATGCAATCTGGAAATCCGCATATCTGAAAAACCGTGGAAACGGGTTTCTGAACCACATCACATCAGCATCCTGGAAAGGGAAACTAGCAAACAGATCATTCAATAGAACCAAGCCATATGTATAACATAAGGTGGTGATCCGTAATCCTATAACATGTCAGTGCTAGTATTCATGTGTCTTGATGTGCTAATCTAAGATCTGGGAAATTGAACTCTGATAACCATACCAGTATGCGTCTGCTTTATAACAACGATGCCACAAGAACTTACCGTGAAAACGAAATTATATCCCATCTCAAGAACAGACCGCAGGAAGTCGATCCTTCTCCACATCATCTTCAAGTACGACCGGGTCATGAAATAGGCCTCTTGGGAAAAATCAACTCCCTCAGTGACTAGAGAGAAGCAGTGCCTATGTAAGGCCCGACAACGAGAAAATGCCTTCTTATCCAAAGCAACAATCACCAAATGGTCCAAAAGTTTGCGTGTTCCTTCCCCCATTCTAAAACTCTCCAAGAAAAGGTCGATAACAGATCCTGGAGCCGCCCATGCTTCATTCAAAGTCGTCAAAATGACTGTTCTGTCTTCCATGGCAGCATTATGCAGAACATCTTCAAGTTTAGGTTCCTCATCCTGGCACAAGCATTAACCGCCATAAGGTACAATCTGGCGAAAACCGAAAGAGATGGGAACACAAGGCCAAAAAATGCAAGATTATGTACATGCAGATAAAAATCAGAGACCTGAAGCTTCAGAAATGATCCTACTAAAGATTACAAAAGTTAAGGTACTATTTCCGAGTTCTTTTATTACAGACAATTTTGAAACTGAGATCCGCATCACCATCAAATCACAGAAACAAACAATGACTTCAGCTCACAATACTAATCTGATGCAGCTTCGAGCACCACCGAGGCTATAAGTCAATGTTCCAATTTAATGCATTTCATAGCTTGGAACTGGTGAGAATGGAAACAAGAATTTCTAAATTTTACAGGTTCAGTGATCCATAATAATAAGATCAACATACGAATTGATTGTAATAAACATTAGCGAACGTCCATGGATAACAAATCAATCTCCAGATTTTGAATCATACTTTACTATTTCCAAACATCAAATTCCGGAGAAAGCAGCGATGAGCCCAAAAGCTAGAGAAGTGAAACTAACCAGAGGCGAAGAAAAATCGAAAGACGGGAAAATCCGAGGGAAGAACGACAACGAAGGTGGCGACGAGCCACGGACGATCTGGAGGGAATCAACTGCTCTGTAGAGAACGAAGCACGAGATGGAGATGGCGGCAATGAAGAGAGCGACTCGGCGGATCGGGCCGGAACCCGACGACATCACGGGAGAAACAGCGGCAGCGGAGCTACCGGAGGAGGAGGACGGAGCGTCGGACTTCGAAGTCTGAAACCTCGAACCGATTCGGTGCGACAGATTCATCCACCCCGACCATTCCCAACATTTCTTTAATTTGTTTATTCAGGAGAAGCGGTTGCGAAAATTGATTGAGGAAAGTAAATAACGTAACGCCGACAGAAAAAAAAAATTGAATTTAGATTTTCTATTTCACTTCACCAAAACGCTGCGTTTTAACGATTCATCCTCTCACCAGCTTCTCTTCTCCATCGCGAATTGGGATTTCATCCGGCTAAGCCATGGCGGAGGATCGAGACGATCTAGCAGACTCTCTTAACGATCTCTTCACGAACGTATCATGTATGGTGAAATCGGAGCTTCAGGTGAGAAATCCGAAATTGTAATTTCTCCAGTACCAATTTCACCTTCCTGGATCTGAAAATAAATTTTTTTTCTCGTTGTGAATCTCGATAGGGAACGAACAATCTACTCAATTTGGTGGAGAAGATGAATCTGAGAGTTGCGGCGGAGTATAATGACTTCGGCGATGTCGCAGCGGGACTTAGGGTTTTCGCCGAGCAGATGAAATCCAAAAGCGGTGGTCTCGACGAATACGTTCGGCAGATCGAGGCCATCGAGAAACAGGTGACGGATTTTGAGGCAGTGACCTCCATTCTCGATCGATACGTCTCGTTGCTCGAATCCAAAGTCAGGTCCTCGTATCAACGCCACCTTCATCACAATCCGCAGCAGCAGCAGCGTCCATCATCTTCATGATAAGCAGACACTCATCCTCTCTCATCTTTGATCACCATTCGAATGGTTTTTGGGGTTTATTCATGAAAAGTTTTCGCATTTATGTTTCTCTCCAGTGTAATATAACCATCATGGTTTGGCCATTTACTGGGTTTTGTTTGCTACAAAGGCTGAGACTTTTGCTTCCACCATCCGAACAAAATTCGCTCTGAGAAAAATCTAGAATCCCAGAGAACACGATCGGGGGTTCCAAAGGAATCTGAATCTATTGCACTAATCTATGATAAAATTTTCAGCTACCAAGGAGAGAGATCGAGAGATTTAAGTTGAGATTTTGTTGCTGAGCCGAAGAAGACGCAGAGCAATCCTTGAAGACGAAGGGGGCAGAGCAAGAGGAGAATGCTTCGCTTGATTCACTGATGGAGGATGATCCATTGCTTCTCCGTGAAGATGGGCGACGATGGTTCAATGAGAGCGATAAAGATAATTCACATTCTGAGAATTCTCCTTCTTCTTCTTCTCCCTCCTTGCGTTCTTCGTGTTCCCGCCAGGTATTTTCCCAGTTGATCTTCTCATCTTCTGGGTTCTGAACCTAAAGAAAACAGATTTATCACGATGAATAGATTATTATGGGTCTGATTGAGAGATGGGGTTTATCAATAATCAGCTAGTTTGATTAACCACAGTTCAATGGTGTGTATTGAGTATGTACTCTTCTGATAATGATTTCCTTTAATGTACCTTGAGGAAGCGAGATTGAAATATGAAGGAATGGGGCATTGTCCCTCGATTGTCCATTTTCAAATTCAAGTGAAGCTCAGCATCATCATCATCATCATCATCAACTTCTTCTTCATCCTCACAGGCCGAAACACTCATCATCCTCTGGTCTGCCCTTCCTCTGCTTCAAAGAGGACAATTTGTATACAGACAAAACTGTATGATTGCTTTTCCAAACCACATTAAATGATTTATCAGAAGAAAAAAATATCATATCTTTCCAGTCTTGAAAAGAGGATATAGCCTCAGTATTCCTTTTTCCTTTTCAAAAAACTTTTTTTTTTAAAACGTTTGAAGTTGAAACAAAGAGGATATATAAACATGCCCATGCTGACAATGGGGGAAAAGATTATCTTTTGAGATCCAGGAGACCGGCACGTATTAGAATAACGGTAGTTCATGTGAAACTAATGAATTAATCTCCTGTGAAATAAAAGATGAAAAAGAAGTAAGAAATGAAATACCTAGGAGAAGAATGTCGAGAAAGATAGGGTTGTGAGCCAAAATGACAATCATTCCTCGTGTGTACAGACCAGTTGTCGTGTTCCTCGCCACTGTCGTCTTGTCTTCTTCTCGGCGAAGAATTCTCCACTGTCCACAAATATTAACAGTGAACCCAACATTTATTATGTGGAAGAAAAAGGCATGTATACTACCATGCATATATACCCCATTTTCTGTTTTCAATTTACCAAGCTATACATACATATATATATATGGTAATTGTCGGATGAATCATAACATTACATGACGACCATTATTGATACATGATATAAACTGTGCATTACAGTTTTGTTGTTAATATTACAGAAAAGACATTTGCCCCGTAACCTTTAGGCGAATGTGTATGTGTGTGTGTATATACATATGCAAAAAAAAAAAAAAAGATTACCTTGTTTTCCCAAAGCGAGTTTAGATCCTCTATACATCTGAAGACAAAAAGAAGAGACAATGTTATAACTTGGAAATCATTTGAAACTAAGGGGAAAATTCAGAAGAGTATATACATACACATGCGTGTGTGTGTATATACGAAACAAACAGTAATGAAGAATAACCAACAAACTAATAGGACAAATGCTGGGTGTGGTCATTAGACAAACCTGGAGATGGCTCTTGACGTGTGAAATGGTCAGTCCCTTCACATCCATCATCCTAAGAACAAGTTTTGGAGTCGCTTCTGTTTCATTCACACGCATGAAGATTCAAAGTTTTATATATGATCATGACGATGAAATAAAGTCATGAATCATGATGATGACGAGAGGGAAGAGAGATGCGTACTGTGTTGGCCGCCGAGCGAATCAACAGCGTTAACGAAGCAACGGTGGAGCTCCGGCGTCCATCTCAGGCGAGGCGCCGGAGACCGTACGTACTGTCTCACTCCGTTACCGTTACCGTCAACGTTGCTCCTTCCACATCTACCCATCTTTCGTATGTCTGATGATGACCAAAAAGGTTTTGTTTTTCCTCAACAACAACAAAAAAAAAAGTTTTTTTTTCCCAGAAAGCCTCTGCGGAGGAAGAAGGAGAATAAAAAGAACCCTAATGGAGATGCAGAGAGGATTCGCTTTCGTTTGGATTAAAAGAGCAAAATTTCTGCTTTGCTTTTTGCCCTTTCCAAAAGATGGCTCTTTCTTTTTCCATCTATTCCTTTTGTCTCTTTTATATGCTTCTCGACGAATCATGTATATCTATGCTTCCATTACATACACACATGACACATGTACATATGTGTGAATATGTACATGTATAAGTTCACTCTAACCAGCTGGAATATTTTTTTTTCCTTATTATTTATTTTCTTAAACGAAACATGCAATTAAATAATTTTCAAATAGTATTTTTTCGTATACACATTGTTGAAAATTCGATAATCTCAAATATTGACCAAAATGGTTTTCGATATATAAAATAAAATTGATAGAATATTATCGTTACGTATCTGCATTTGAAAAACCGATAACATGTTTAGATTTTTGAAACACTTGAAAAGTATTTTTTTAAAAAAACCTTGTATCGAATAATAACTTAAAATATCCGATTCTAATTTCATTCTGATTGAATTATTTTTTATGAAATTTAAAAAAAAAAAATCTTAGTATTTGAAATATATATATATATCACGTTGGGATGTTTTTGTCGTGTTGAAATTTACTATACGATTACGAATGGAAGTAATTAATTTTTCACCAAGGTCTGCAATACCAAGGCAAAGGAAAAAAAAAAGAAAAGAAGACCTAACAACTATGCTTTGACCTTTTGGATGCTATCATATTCCAAAATTCTCTTTATGGGCTGTGAATTATTTACCTTCTGCTTCTATAATTCACATGTTCTTATGGTCCTTCATTACGCTTTGTACGCATTGGACCACCCTTTTGACTTCATGCCCTAATTATGCCATCCCTCTCTCTCTTTTTTTCTCCCTTCTCAATAATAATCATAAATTCATGCATGCATATATATATATATATATATATATATATATTATTCTTCCTTACCCCCAAGGCTTTTGCTTTTTTCCGGATGTTTCCTCTCTTCTTTGTTGCCAACAAATCTTTGGCAAGAACGATCAAATTAAGTTCATCAAACTTCAAGGTTCGCGCGTGCTCATGATCAAGTATAACGTATCCAAATATTGTTTTTGTTTTTTAGTATACGTATATGTTAATATGTACATCGCATACATATATGTTATATGTACATCGCCCATTTAATTTGTCTTTGAGTTTCTACGACGTGATAAACCATCCACGAGAAACGTGTCCGAACACGAAATCTTCAAGTTGTTTTGTTTTGCCCATGCGAATCTATCTCTCTCTCTTTATATATATATAGGTTTTTATGCATATCTATAGTTATATATCATGTGTTGAGAAATATTTACCTTGGATCCCATGACATGTATAATAAAATAATAAAAAAGAAGAAAATTCCAGGAAAATTCTTGAAGTAGGCTAGGCCGGTGGAGAGCAAAATGTCTTCACTAACCAAACCGGTTTAATTAATTTTCAAAGATGTCATTGCATGCATGCATGCCCATGCACATGCACATGACTTCGTTTCTGCTGTTCAATTCCATTGACCACAAGCCCACTAATTAATCAATTAATTAATTAATCGGTGTCTTCTCTTCAATTTGATAGTAGATGAAAGCTGCGCCAAACTCGTCATGTCGGTATTGATTTGATATGGATCGTCATTTTTCTACGTAATCTAAGGTCTTAAAGCCTTTTTGAAAGAATTTCGACACCATGCAACAGCACAAAAAAAAACTTTGTCCACATAGAAAATATACAACGTGGACCTTTTTTCCCCCTCACGATGGTACCTAATTAATGTCGAACGAATGTCGTGGAAATTAAAGATTATAGGCTTTGCCTTTTTCCTTCACTCATTCAACATTTTCACTCTACACCTAAAAGCTTATCTATCCATGTAAAATCTCGGAAAATAAGATTAATTAAATTAAGCCAAACCATTACACACACACATATATATATATATATAATAATAATAATAATAATAAAAAACAAGAAGGAAAAAAAAAGTAAGCAAGATCCTGGAAAAACGCCAAAAGGCTGTGGAGACTATAAAGGCTTATGCAGGAAAAATAAAATCGCATTGTGTGTGTGAGTGTGTATGGTGATAGGGAAGTTGGATATATATATGCCCACACCATCATTTCAAGTCTGACTTTTCGTTGACTGTATCATTCAAGATTTTGATTTCATCTGCCGAAACAGGACAAGTGAAATTTTTTCAGTATCAAAAAGGGCTTTTAATGCAATTAAATGCAAGAGAGGAATGATGATGATGATGATGATGAAGTTCAACTAGTTGGAAGCAGAATCCACGTAAAACTCTTCTCCTTGTTACATTTTGACGAAACCGTGTTTCTTTTGTGGACAAAAGTACAAAGAGAATGTCTTGTTGCTTCGAGGATTGATGAGGATTTGTAAATCGGGTAAAGACTGATTTATAAGAGGAATAATTTTTCATTGGAATGTAAAAATATGAATATATATTAATCGTTGAAAAAATCTCGTGTATTTTTTTCAGTTTTACTTTGTGTGACATTGTAAATTAATAAAGGTATCAATCATATCACATGCAATCACAAACAGGAAGTTGTAAAGCCCCGAGGGAGAAAAACGCCTTGAGAAAGAGAATATACATGAAGAAAATCAAAAGGAGAGAAAAGGGAATTTCAGGAGAGTTGGTTAAAAGTGATTTTGATGAGAAATAAATTAGTAACATTGAAAACAACACGAATCAATCAAGTAAATAATTATAATTTAATACAATGTGCAACAGTAAAGGGTCATTGCAAAAAAAAAAAGGATGTTATTATTTAATGGGGGGGGGGGGACGTAGGACCAAACAACCTTTGACTTTCATTAGGAAGATCGGTATTAGGTTTGATATGTTTCCCTCACTACAACTTTCATTCCAATCTAATCTGATGTTATTTGTCTTTGCCCAAATCACCTTCCTTCCTATGTTTTCTTCAATACTATTTATTCGTTTCAATTTTAACTATTACAAATCCTATAAAAAAAAATACACCTATATATACATATTCACATACACGACAAAAGAGGGCCTTATTTATTTGTAATATTTTTTTTCTTCCAAATACGGAGATAAATCAATGCATGGACGAGGGGGTTGTCCACGTCCACGAATGCCATGCCAACATCATTTCATTCGATTTTTCACAGAATTTTTAAAAATACAATTATAATCCCGATTTTGCTTAATTCAACGCATCTATATCACGTACTCGACAGGTACAGGCGTTGGATTCTCGTGACATATAAATAATCAATTCTCAATTTTTTTAAAAAAAAAACTTACTATTGCCATGGCCATTCCATGGCATGCCTGCAAATGCATACCCAAACCCTGTGCTTGTCTGATACAGTAACTCTTATGGCATATGTCCAGTAACTTGTTTCTTCTACCGCCAAAACATCATTTGAGAACACAGAACAACTATTGAGTCTTGACCCACTGTAAAAATTCTCCATATCTAATCTACCTGCCATTTTTTTTTTCTTGAGATGAACGAAACCTGCAATAAAATATGGCAAACAAATTCCCGGGCTTGGCTGGAGATTCAACAAATTCCAGGTTTTACATCATCGAAACCGATACCAAGGCATGTGAATCGTTGATGGGTTACGATTTATTTTCGAAAATAACATCACCAGTTCAAAAGATAAGAGATGGAGAATCTTCTTGAACATACATACACCTGATGGCAGTGTACCAACAATTTTTAATCACTAGCAGCAAGAAAGAAGCAAAAGCAACCCCACTTCTCCAGAGCTCAGTGTCCCCTTCCCTGCCCAGATCATTCAAAGCAAGAATTTTAGGACAGAATAAAAAGCTGGTGTGAAATCAATCACCACACGTTGTGAAATTTCAGACCAAAGCTGGGTACATACATACAATGAAAAACACAAATGGCAGCAATCATAGCAATGGAGAAAATGGGTAAAGAAGAAGTTGAACATATATGCATATTGTGAGAGAGGAAGTACATGGGTACTGGGTAGAGTACTCAATGAGATGGAGAAAAAATCATCAGAGAATCTTTCTACATCATCACCCGGCTGTGTTGTATCCTATATATATATTCCACCTATTCATAATTACATCCGTTGCAGAGTCTTCCAAGAAGGAACACTCCAGGTTTTGCAACTAAGCATGAGCTGGTCAGACAAGGAAACTGGACCAGAATGTGTCGAGTGCTGTGAACTCTGTGATTTCTAAACATTCATCACATACCCAAATAGATGGGCAAAGGAGAGGAATTCTGACAGCTTTGGAACAGTCTTCTTACTTGCCTGTTTCAGGCAAAAAAAACACCTAGCAGCTGTTGGATAACAATTACAAAATAACATGATCCTTCTATAACGAGACCTAATTGAAAATCAATTATAGTTTCCTGGGCTGGCCAGTTTAAAAATGGGTATAGTCTGGTTAGCAAGATAGCAAGCTCTTTTTACCAGCAAAATATTGTTGTTATTTCCATCACAACAATGACAAAACTACGCAAGTGCCTATGATTGCAGGGGAAAAACAATACACTATGAACAACAAGAGTAATCATAAAACTCTCTTAAACAGAGAGGCAACGACATTTCATCTAAAACTGACAGAGACTACAAAATGCAGATAGGGGTCACTGGGCTAAATGGTGGGATACTTTCTGACGCCAGGGGGTGTTTCGATTCTTGACACAAGGGCAAAACCATAGAAGGGCAAACAACAACAGGTATTTTTCAAGCAGCAGGGTGGTTTTTGGATCGGGCGAAATGGAAATCCATTCAAAAGGAATTGCATCATTGGCTCCTTGGTAAGACAAAACGATAATACTTAGCAGAGGGGTAAAATATTGGTATTCCTCATTTGGTGTTACAAAGAAGGGAAATGTCCAATCAGAGTTCACCCTTTGACAATTCACGACCGAGCACACAATCTCATCAATTCTGAACCAAAACCTAAAATAGATACGAAGAACACGAGGATCTGAAGCAGAGGAAAATGCATTCCATCAAATCACCCAGAAGATCGATACCAAAATGCCCAGGTTCGCAGACAACGACCACAAAAGACCTGATTTTGAAAACGGGCAGCTAAATCAATACCCTAAATCCAAAATCTTGAAAGCAATACACTCACCCGGTAAACCAGAAACGGTTGATCGGAGACTGATTCTAAGCATTAGCGGTTCTTGCGCCGAGAGGAACGCCACTCGCTTGGTGCTTCTTCTGCTTGGCCTGTTCCTCACGGATCTTCTGCATCGCAAGCATCCTCTCCATGACGAGCTCGTACTCGCACTTCTCATAGACATGCCGCTCGTCCTCGCACTTCCAGGGAAGGTAGAACTCGGCCTGACGACACTTGTTGAGAGGGATCAGGAGATGAGCGCACTGGTCTCTGTAAGAGAGCGGGACCTTCGCTTCCACCATCTCCGCCTGCGTGGCGATCATCTTCTTCGATGAACCTGGAACCTCCATTGTCGTTGCCTCGCGATCGATCCCAAACCCCGATACACGCACTCTTTCCCCTTTTTTTCCCTTGGATTTCTTCAGCTTCGTCGCAGCACTGGGACCTAGCGCATGTTAGCCGGGCCGGATTAGGATTTTAAATGGGCCTAAATTAAAGCCCATTAAGGAATTTATTTAATCTTCTTCTGCCTAAGCCGCAAGTCATGTATATAACCTGAATAAACAAAACAAGTTATGAATAATATCATCACATCATGCGGTAAAAAAGGGTCTAGAGGGGGGAAAAAAGCCTACTGCCTATTAAAAATGTAATTTACAACAGGAAATTATACAAACCGGCAGGTGAGAGAGTGCAACGGCGCATGCACATCACGTGCGTTATATTCGCGGCCCATTCAAATGAAACTCGTTCAGCCCATTGGACCAATGAATATTATTTACATTTTTGTAAATTAATTGGCGCATTCGCTTCTAGTGCTTATTCACGATGACGCATGGGTCAAATGTTTATATATGCAAAGAATAAAGGATTAACCAATATGGCAACTGTGTATAAAGACCCGTAATTGGCGGTGACAGAGAGAGAGAGAGAGAGAGAGAGAGAGAGAGAGAGAGAGAGAGATATTCGCCGCGTCTGCGTTTTCCCAATGGAATGATTAATTTTCAAACCGTCTCCTCTGACTTGGACGCGCAAACAAATAATTCAGACCATCCTCGCAAAAAAAAAAAAAAACCAGAAATCTGTGGGATTTTGCTTTAATTAATTATTCGTTTTTATTTTTTACGGAATCGAATTTTACTCAGGTTTGCCTTCAATAATCGGATATACTTTTATCCTTAACAAGGGTTTTCCGACACATGAACCGCATATAAAAATAAAGAAGATAAACCTATTTTCAAAGGTGCTTGCACAAAACGCCTTGTATACAATATTCGTGATTATTTACAACCACGACTTTTCAGTTTATAGATCTGTTGTTTTCTTTGAATTTGGTTTTGTCCGATTAAAGAATATGTTCGTTTTTTTTTTTTGAGAAGGTGAGAATAATTTATATAACATTTTGAATTAATAATTATCAATCGTCGAATAGATTAACCCTCTATGTCGCATGCGGAGAAGCAGAAAAAGTAAAATTATAAAATTATAGTATGCATTTGTTAACGTAATTCGGACATAATTGATGTTATTTATTTTGGTTGGATGTTTCATAAACGACGGCTTTCGTAGTTTTGAAAGCAGGCAAGTGGGGATCTTTTGACGCGGTCTATCAATTATATAAAGCCTAGGACCTGATTTAATTATACTTGTAAATATATTTTTAATTAAGCCTGTTTCTAATAATAGTAATAATTCCCATACCTGAACCTTTTTCAAAACAACAAAATTTATAAGCATGATTGTCGGTTTTGGACTTTCCGCATTAGACTTTGTTCGACCGAGAAATCAATCAATCAAAACGAACAAATAAATAATCAATGAAAAGTCGCGTGGGTGGGAACTGCCAAGGAAAGAGACGGAGGATTTGTCAAATCGCGTTTCAAACGCTGAAAGGTTCGTTTAGGCTCGCGTTCAAGCCCCTTCCACTATATAAAGCCGATGCCCATCTCTTCCACATTCTTCATCCAAGAACAGAAAAAAAAAAAGATCAAGATTTTTTTTTTTGTGTGTGTAAGAGAGACAGAAAGTAAGATGGTTTTATCTAAGACAGCTTCGCAGTCCGATGTGTCGGTCCATTCCACGTTCGCTTCACGCTACGTTCGCGATTCTCTTCCACGGTACATACATAACTCAATCAAGCCACTCTCTTGTTTCCATCATATATATTGGTTCTTGAATTATATACAATTGGTGTATGATATTTGATGGATTAAAGAATCTAATTGTATATATATATAAACCGACCAGGTTCAAGATGCCGGAGAATTCGATACCGAAAGAAGCAGCGTACCAGATCATAAACGACGAGCTAATGTTAGATGGGAACCCGAGACTGAATTTGGCATCGTTCGTGACGACATGGATGGAGCCTGAGTGCGATAAGCTCATCATGGACTCCGTCAACAAGAACTACGTCGACATGGACGAGTACCCCGTCACCACCGAGCTCCAGGTTCTTCACATTATAAATTTCAACACACCTTTTTTTTTTTACTTCTTGGTTATGATTAAGAACGACCCATTTAGAAAAATAATAATAATTGTTATATGTGTTGCAATGGATAGAACCGGTGCGTGAATATGATAGCGCGTATGTTCAACGCGCCGCTGGGTGAAGGCGAGGCCGCGGTCGGAGTCGGGACGGTGGGATCTTCGGAAGCAATAATGTTGGCCGGTTTGGCATTCAAGCGCAAGTGGCAGAACAAACGCAAGGCTCAAGGCCTTCCTTACGACAAGCCTAACATCGTGACCGGAGCCAACGTCCAGGTAAACCGGATTCCTGTCTCTTGGTGTGTATATCCAAAATCAAACAGACCGGATTAATCCGGTTCGGTTAAATCAGGTTTGCTGGGAGAAATTTGCACGGTATTTCGAGGTGGAGCTGAAGGAAGTGAAACTGAGAGAAGGGTATTACGTAATGGACCCGGTCAAGGCCGTGGAGATGGTGGACGAGAACACTATATGCGTAGCTGCGATTCTCGGTTCGACCCTCAATGGCGAGTTCGAAGATGTCAAGCGCCTCAATGACCTCCTCCTAGAAAAGAACAAGCAGACAGGGTACGTATATTTATATATACACATGAGAATAACTCCATATGTACGCGTGTGTATAGATATATATGAAATGATATAAATGGTGAATATTATGGCAGATGGGATACAGCGATACACGTGGACGCGGCGAGTGGAGGGTTCATAGCGCCGTTCTTGTATCCGGAGCTGGAATGGGACTTTAGGTTAGAGCTGGTGAAGAGCATAAACGTGAGCGGACACAAGTACGGTCTGGTCTACGCCGGAATCGGATGGGTCATTTGGAGGAGCAAAGCCGACTTGCCCGAAGAACTCATCTTCCACATCAACTATCTCGGCTCCGACCAACCTACCTTCACCCTCAACTTCTCCAAAGGTATCACTGTCGTCATTTTCTTAATTACTCCATCCATGTCATATATATTATATATATATATATATATATGAATCACTACAAACTTACAATGACTAATTCCTTATAGTTCTTCGTTAACATTCGTGTATTCTACGCATGTTTCAGGCTCGAGCCAAGTGATTGCTCAGTACTATCAGCTAATCCGTCTTGGATACGAGGTGTGTAATCCAAGACATCCTTCCGCGTATATAAAATGACCATAATACCCTTAACCGTAAGTGCCGTTTTCTTACAGGGATACCGGAACGTGATGGAGAACTGTAGGGACAACATGATGGTCCTAAAGCAAGGACTGGAGAAAACGGGACGTTTCAAGATCGAATCGAAAGATGACGGAGTTCCGCTGGTGGCGTTCTCGCTCAAGGACAACAGCCGTCACAATGAGTTCGAGGTGGCCGAGACTTTACGTAGGTTCGGGTGGATAGTGCCGGCCTACACTATGCCTGCTGACGCTGAGCACGTCACCGTCCTGCGTGTGGTCATAAGGGAAGATTTCTCGCGTACTCTGGCCGAGAGGCTCGTTCTCGACATCGAGAAGGTCCTTCACGAGCTCGACACTCTCCCCGCTAGGGTCCACGCCAAGATGGCTAATGGTAACGGAGATGTTAACGGAAAGGTTAACGGGTTTGTGAAGAAGACGGCGGAGGAGACGCAGAGGGAGGTCACTGCCTATTGGAAGAAGCTTGTACAGAACAAGGACAAGAAGGCCACCAACAAGAACAAGATCTGCTGATTGATTAAATGGGGATAATTCGCTGCATTTCTTCCCCCAGGTTTTCATTTCCTAAAATCTTATTTTAAAATAATGAATTTCATTTTTTTTTTTTGGTTGTTCGGGGGTTTTGAGATTATTTACTATTTAGTTTGAGAGGAGTAACCTTTGAATGGTGCTCTATCCAGAGATCCATATATAACTGCGATGTAATAAAATTTTGACTTTTCCCGCGTAATAAAAAGTTATAGAATACATGAAATGAGCCCTCTTCTTCTTCTTCTTTTTATCATATGAGAAACCTCTGTTCCAGACGGATAATGATCCCTGTAATTAAACATCACCCAAGACAAAAGACCCACAACACTGAGTTGTACGGTTTACAATGCAACAAAACTGGTCAGTCTATAAATAGGACAAAGAATCGAAAGGACAAAACCTTCCAAATTGTGCAATAACCCTTTTCTCTCATAAATCAAAATCTTCGTGATTCGAGGCTTTAACTCGACTCTTATATGTTTCTGTCATCCTCCGACATTGGGGGTCTGTTGTGTTGTCCTGACGCCGTCGTCTCTGCGTCAAGACGCACACTCTCCTTCTCAAAGAAATTGAATTCTTGGAGAAGCTTGGTGAGCTTAGTGGCGTTCTCTTCCTTTATATGTGCAGGGACCTTCTCTTCGTACCCATTCACGCTCATCATCTTCTTCAACTTCTCTGTTTGCCTGATCAAACCCAAAACAATATGAACACAGCATCGATATTAGAATCTCGCATGAATATTATTAGAATCTGTAGATCACTTTTTTTTAATCTGTAGATCATTCCCTAACAAATTTCTATAATATTTGTCCATCGTTGGTCAAGCTTACTTTTGAATCTCGTCCTTCTTGTTTCTGATCTTTTCTCGTTCAGCTTCTGCATTAATGGCTCCATCAACTTTGAGATAGACCTTGAGGTTCTCATTCACTGTCTCGACTGCAGATCCAGCCGGGGCCGAGTGCTCTCCCTTTAACAGAACCTGTTGGAAAGCTATAAACAAGTTAGAAAAGCATGGTAATATGAGAGAAACATAAGGAAGGAAGAAAAAAGAATGGTATCCATTTCACGCACCTCCAAGGATGATAGGTTTGCTAGGGTTCTGATCTCCAACTCGTGGGATTTAACAATTTCTGATGTTGAGTTATTTTCACATAGAGCAAAGGCTGGTAATCTGCAAAGAATTACAGTGGGAAACTGAAACTGTTTCTTCCGTAGAAAAAATTTGCAGTTTAGACTGTTAAGTGTCGAAACAAAGTTTTAGTCGCAGTGTCGTACTCAAAGGCACTTGGTTCATATGCTCTAACCTTTCATTTTTCTGTTTCTCCAGCAGCTCCGCTCTGAGAGCCCTAAGAGATCTGACAGTTGCCAGAACGGTCTCCATTTCGGTTTCCACCGTTTCATTTGTCCAGTTCTGTGGGTCAAAAAACAAGATATTAGGAACCCACCAAGATAGGTTACTCACAAGTCCATAGAAAATCTTCTGACCTCCATAGTAGATGGGTAGTCACAGATCATGATAGAAGCCTCCCTTTGATAGTCTTTGGGTGAGGGCAATCGTTGCCATAATTCTTCGGTAACAAAAGGCATAAATGGGTGGAGTAGTCTCAAACCCGTCTCCAAACACACCCAGAGAGCATGTTGAGCATGCACCCTCTCCGAGGCAAATGCTGGGTTGTCACCAGCAAAGTAAGGTTTGATCGCCTCGATATATATGTCACAGAACTGGTATTGCCACCATGCATACACTGTGTTGGCTGCATCCGAGAACTCATACGCATTCAAGGATTCCACTGTTTTTGTTACTGCCTTATTCAGCACCGAAAGAATCCACTTGCAACTGAATGGCATGGTTTCAGGGTTTTGAGTTGGCAGAGGGGTGTAACCCTCGCCAAGCTTCATCATTGCAAATCTGACAGCGTTCCATAGTTTGTTACACCATTGACGGTAACCAACCACTCGTAGGATATCCAGGTTTATTTTATCAGACTAGAAAAATGATGCAAAGTAATTTGATTAGTTTACGAGTTAGCCCATTTATGGTGCAAATAACATGGTCTACGTAGGGGTGGATATACAGTACCTGAGCTGTGTACGAGACAAGTGCAAAACGGAGAGCATCAGCACCACATTCAGGGATACCATTTGGAAAATCCTTCACTTGCCCTTCTTTGGCAACAACCAGCTCCTTTGGATCCAAGTTACCCTCTTCTAGCCTCTTATGAAGGCCTTCGAGTGTTACCCCGTTTATTACTTCAAGAGGATCAATTACATTTCCAAGAGATTTTGACATCTTACGCCCATGTGCATCACGTATCATAGGATGCAAATAAACCTGAATTACAGCATAAACGTTTTAATGGCACAGAAGTATCAGTGACAAATCAAAACATGGCTTCTAAAAGGAAAAGTACTGCATACCTTGCTGAACGGAACATCGCCTCCTAGTTTCATTCCCAGCATAACCATACGAGCAACCCAGAAGAAGAGAATGTCATGTCCAGTTTCAAGAACAGATGTTGGATAGAATGCTCTGAAGTCATCAGTTTCATCTGGCCATCCCAAAACAGATAATGGGAAGAGACCAGAAGAAAACCATGTATCAAGCACATCGGGATCTTGAGACAGCTCAAACTTCTTTCCAGCAAATTTAAGAGCAGCCTCTTTTCTAGCCTCCTCTTGGTTTCTAGCAACAACCCAATGGTCACTGTATGCGCCAAGTTCTTTCAGTTGATCATCCTCTAGGGTGGCATACCATGCTGGAATTCTGTGGCCCCACCAAAGCTGTCTTGAAATACACCAGTCCCGTATGTTCTCAAGCCACCTGTAATACCCATCATTGTAAAACTTCTTAAACATCTACAGAAGTATACACGTGAAATGCGTCAAAGCTTAGACAATTAGAAAATAACCTTTTCCATTCTGCTGTGTATTGCTTTGGAATAAACTCAAGCTTCTTGTTTTCATCATTTATAGCAGCATCGAGAGCCTCCTTCCCCAAAGTGCTGCAATTGACATACCATTGAGGCTTTATCATAGGCTCAATGACATCGCCGGTTCTCGAGCAAAGCCCAAGCCTCATTTCATTGTTTTTGGCACCTCGGTACAGTCCCTGCATAAAATATTCGGCAAAATGTTGAAACCAAGGCAAAGCTGAGGACAATACATGGGATGCACCCATTTGATGACAAAACCTCCTGAAGAATACGTGATACCTTCTTTTCAAGAGCTTCAACAACAGCTTCACGAGCTGCAAAGCGGGCCATCCCTGTAAACTCAGGTCCACCATTGGTATTGATCTTTCCATCATCCGTGAATATGTTTATAAATTGCAGATTATGGCGCTTTCCAACCTCAAAATCATTGGGGTCATGTGCAGGAGTAATCTACAAGAAAGAGACCAAGTAAAGCTGAGATGGCAATATAACTATAAAAAGCAAGAACATAGCATCTGAAAACAAAAGAACTAGCTCGTACCTTAACACAACCAGTACCAAATTCTGGATCAACAAGTATTGCATCACAAATAATCGGTAGTTTTCTTCCATTAAATGGGTGAATAGCAAATTTTCCATGAAGATGCTTGTACCTCACATCATTTGGATGAATAGCAATAGCAGTATCACCAAGCATGGTTTCAACCCTAGTAGTAGCTACAACAACCTCACCCAAACCCCCTTCAAGAGGGTAGGCAAAAGAAGTAAGAACACCGAATTCAACCGGCTTCTCATAGCCAGGGACTTTAAGCAAAGTTCGTTCCTTGATGTCAGTATAATCAACCTATGAAAGTAAATCAGACTCCACGTTAGAAGGATGATATCCAATAACCGTAGGAGCTACCATAAACTAACTAAGTTACCTCAATATCAGATATGGCAGTTCTCAGGATACAATCCCAATTAACAAGTCGAAGATCCCTGCAAAATTCATGGCATAGTTTCAAGTTAGGTGTCCTCTTATTTGGAATAAATTATTATTATTTTGTTGGTTCTGTAAGTAACCAGAAAATTGAAGGTTTTTCTATTTACAATTCTGTTCTAATCCTTTTTCCTTGGATTTTCAAAGTAGTGATTCTATAGCTAAAAGCTTACATTTTGACTACAAGTCTAACTTCAGGCTTACCGATATATAAGCCCTTCCTTGTATAATCTCACAAAGGCCTCCGTGACAGCCCTTGATCTTTGCTCGTCCATTGTAAAACACTACAAATTTATAGACAGAAACTAGATCTATAAGATGGATAGCTGACACTGAGTAAAGAGAAAATGGCCAACCTACAAATAAGTATACAGCGATGAAACTGAAGATTGCTTTAAGCTGTCCATGCAATAAATGATCGCAGAATGTTTACCTCACGGGACCAATCAAGAGAAGCTCCCAAACGACGTTGTTGTCCTAGAATTGTACCACCATACTCATTCTTCCACTTCCACACCTTTTTAAAACAAATAAATAATCATGAGAGATTTCATTAATTAAAATAAAGAGTGGAAAAAAAAGGGTTTGCGAGCGTATTTAATTTTCAACTCACTTCTTTTACAAATTCTTCACGGCCAAGGTCATGCCTAGTCATATGCCTTTCACGCATAAGCTTCTTCTCAACCACAACCTACAATAAAACCAAAGAAGATCCTTGTGATCAGCTGCCATTATGATTCCAAAAGTCAAAATGACTAGGAAGGAAAATCTGAAACAAGTAGTGTAAAACGGCAAATCTCCACAAGCATGCAGGAAAACGAAGAAATCAATTGGAAATGTGTGGTTAAGAAAAGGCTAAAAAATAACACTATAGCGTAGAACATGAGATTCAGTTGAGGTTACGTATATATATGCTAAAAGAAACCTAACTAATCAAAACTGATAAAACTAACCTGCGTAGCTATACCAGCATGATCAACGCCGGGTACCCACAAAGCATTATAACCAGACATTCTCTTCCAACGAATAATTGTATCCTGCATCCGCAAATTACAAGTCAGTGAGCTTAGGGAGGACCAATAACTGAGTAAAAGAACAGACTGTACGCTAAAGAAACCTCTATTGCAGATGTTAGTGCATGGCCAATATGCAAGGCCCCAGTAACATTTGGAGGAGGAAGCACCTGCAGATAGAAGCATAGAGATTAAATAAGTGTTGGAGTACCATGCAGACTAGCATGAATAATTTCAAAACCACGGATTTCCTCAAGTAATAATCGCAGCAAACTTCAGTAATCAAGTAAAGCATAAAAAAATTTAACTGTTCAGAACAGCAAGAGATTCAAGAGTCCAACAGGGTGCATACAATAACAAAGGGTGGCTTGGAACTCTTAGAGTCCGCCTTGAAAAAGCAAGATTTTTCCCACCATGCATACCACCTGACCTACCAAAGAGAAAGATTATCCAGGGAAAACATATTGCATTTGACGTAAATGTGAACTAGTTTCGAAGATTTGTGTAATAAAAAGCTCGTCAGACTTACGATTTCTCTACAGCATCAGGACTGTATTGTTTTGCCATCTGTGCAGAGAGTCTTTTCCTCTCACCAAGTGGAGTTTCTGGGTCCACGAAATCCTGCGGATTATCTTCTGAAGCATCCCGTTTTGCACTCTTCTTTGAGCTCTTTTTAGGGGCGTTTGTGCCATCTTTTGCTTGTTTTGCCTGGGAAAGAAAGTTAAGAAACACAACCGTTCCTCTAATTCCAAGGCGACAACATTCACATGTAAATACATATGCCAGGCAATTCTGAAATGCCTTATTGGTGAAATAGTTAGAGATTACCTTCAGTTCAGCTAGCTTTGCTTTCTCCAAAGCTTTCTGCTTCTTCAACTCCTTTTCCCTGGCCTATATGACAATACACATAAACCGTTTTCATAAAAGCAATGTAGAGATTCCATAAGATATTATCTAAATAATTCCTCTCAGGTACTAAGGTAATACGTACAAATAAACAGCCAGAAGGAACATCGACATAGAACTTAAAAGTCAAACCCAAGCATACAAAGTCCATGAAAACTTCACAGGCCACTATTAAGAGTAAAAACTAACAATCTTTCTTCCTACTTCCCCAATTCAGTAGGATTCGGTTCCGACCACATCCCAGCATCCATTTCTCATATCGTCCAAATGGACAAGCAATTTCAGCATTTCAAAGGTGAAGCTCGATCGGACAGTTGCCCGCCATAGCCAACTGAATCACTGTTCTATGTTTCCTAAGCATTCGCGAAACTAGGTTGCGCATAAGCCAATGTTCACATGTCAAAATCTACCAACAACAAACCTCATTCGGAACGAGCCCTAAAGAAACTACGTAGCTACATTGATTTCAACCGGGAAAACGATTGTTTTAGATAATGAGAGGAAAGAAGTCAAACCTTCTCTTCCTTCTTCTTCTTCCGCTCGAGGTCCTCATCCGTCTCGATCTTCTTCTCCGGTTCCGACTGCGAATTTCAAATACAAATTGAATGCAAAAACAATCAATCAATTCTTTCAGGGGAAACGACAAACAATCTCAATAATTCAACAATAATTCCGTGGAGAAACTATCGGACATTTCTTCTCGTACCATGATTCCGGTCGCGTGAAACGAGCGCGACGGTAGACGAAGAGGTGAAAAGCAGGCTTGGCAACGAAATGTAAAAGACGATAGAAGTAACGGCTTGGCCCTCCCGAGGAAGAACAGTGACATAGACAGAGCAAGCACTTAGGGTTGCCTACCGCGGTGTCTTTTTTTTCTAAAATTTAAAAAAAAAAATCGAAAACCGCAGGAAATTTGGGTTTTCGGGTTTTTAAAAAACGGGTCGGTTTACTAGTTGGTTTTTCTTCTTTGTTTACACCCAATGGGCCTTAATATTTTCATACAATTCGGCTTACCCTTGAAACAAACTATACAATTGACATGCAGCAGGTGTGGGGGGTAATCAGCACAGAAATAAGTATGGAGAAATAATGTAAATGTACTTAAAGGTTAGGGGTCGTGGCGGAGTTTTGACAAATGCAATTAGTGATGGTGACGTGTAATCCAACTCTGCATGGGCCAAAGAATATTAAAATCTATGGAGCCAAGTGGTTGGCAGACAGATCTTCAACACAGGCCCAATTTAAATCAATCATCACCGTTTGATTAGCCATCATTGACAATTTCACACCGTTGGATGAACAACCGAACAAAACCCAGAAACAGACAAATAAATGATGTATGATTAATATAGTATTATAATTTCCAAGGTGTAAATATTCACCAAGATAATTATTTAATAGAGTGTTAACTTTAATCATTGCATATTTCAAAATATTATATAAATATTTTATATCGGTAAAAGTAAATCTAATAGCACAGTTTCTAAATGCAAGGCCAAGAAAAAAAAATATCACGACGATGTAATACATTATATTATATATAACAATAACAGCACAGTAATATATAGCACACAATCTTCTCGCAAGTTATGGATATAAAGAAATAATCAATTTCATTCGATATTAAAGGCTAACTCTGATTAAGAAAATTAAATTTCTAATTAATTGAGTGGACCGTTCAAAACCCGGTTTGAAGAAAAGGGTCCGACCAACATCCAGGCCCGCCATATATTCAAATCCCGGCTGTGCCTATCAAAAATAAACATAATTCACATATATGATATATACACAACCTAACCAAACCCTAAGATTAGTATATGTTTATGAGAACAATGTTATATCTTTTTTTTAGTGGAATCTTTATATATTCCATAAATAATATTTGCCACGTAACAGATTTTCTCATGTCTTGTGTTAGTATTTGAATTATATAACTCTAAGCAATATATATTTTAAATTGACCGCGACAAGGTTGGAAATATATACGTATATATATATATATATATATACATACATATGGCTATAATAAAGTCTGATGAAAATGGAAGAGGGTAAACGTGATAAGATGTAATATGACCCACCCCACAGTGGAGAAGACATGAAGGAAAACAAAAGCATCCGAAAGAAGAAACGGCTGTTCGCCACATCAAAATCAATATACAAATAAAATAAATAAATATTTAAAATAACTTACAATTTTAATTATAAAAAAAAGCTGCCATTTTGAATTTCCCTCATGCATGACTTTTTGGTTTAAAAAATATTTTATAAACAAATATATGAAAGTTTTAATTCTGAAGACATGGTAATCTTTCGGCTTGCATGATATATCCTGTTAGGCCAAAAAAAAGATAAAATGATACAATTGAAATTACTGTATTGATATATCATTTGTGTTTTTTTTTTCAAATTTTACGTCATAAAATTATCGCCGTGTATTTCTTTTTACGCATAAAATCAATCCTGCATGGTATGATTGACTCAATGACTTCCATCGTTGTCATAATTAAACTTCTCAATAAACTCAACCAGTTAAAATCGTTAAATATAATTGAGGCTGTAAATTTGCTTACTGTTCCACAATTCTGATTCATGAAGTAAAAAGCATGTCGTTTTTTTTTTACCACAGCCAAATAACTTTATTTTTATTTTAATCACAGCTTTTTAAAGTTCACATCACAATTCCAATTTTTTATTTTTTATAATATAAAATTTCTCGATATGTTCTATCGGTCATACGCAGGAGCACGGACAGCATGATATGATATCGTAACCTTTAGCTATAATTCAGTCCCCCAAACACCCAACCCCACACCATTTCAAACATTCGTCCTGTTTTTATATTTACATGGACACTTAGGGTTTTTTTATATTGATACAAAATTTAATTATACGATAACATCAATACTAATTTTACATATTTTCTAATGGAAACCAAACAATACTTTATAATTTTTCGTATTAGGGTATGATAATATACATTTGTCAGATCCTTTGATCGAATTATATAGCCTCGGGTTCATGAGAGAGTGCATTAGGAAAACAAAGGGCAGTACAAATTGCACAATATAAAAAGGATATGTCAATACACACGAAAGCAATGGTAAAAAAAAATTATAGAATGAATCGCACTCCTTGAGAAAACCCCAAACTTACATCTCTATTTATTTACCCCTAGGCGTGAGAGTTTGAAACTATGATAGTAAATTACTTTTTACATATTACAAATATCCCATATCCCGAGGAGCACACATTTACCAACCTATATTGATCTTTATCTTTTTTTCTTTTACGTTGACTGAACGAGTGCTAATTCTTCTTCACCTTCCGAAATTCTCCATTTCTTTTTTCTCTTTTTCAAATTTCCTGTTTTCTTCTTCTTCTTCTTCTTTTAAATCTTTTGCTTTTTATGCACAACCCACCAAAATAAATAGGCAGCCACATCCACATCCACAGCTTCTCACAATCCCAAAAACATTCAGCACAAAATCCGACAAGCAGCACTGAAAACATGAGTGAGCTTCTCTACTCGTCATCATCATCCCTCCCCGCATGGGATCTCCCCAACCTCGGATCAGTCTTCCAACAAGACTTCCCTACAGGTTCATACATATATATATATATATATATATATCGCAGGACCATACGTCAATGAAGTATAATTAATGTATAGTTGTTGCATTGTCAAGATCTGTGTCGTTTGCCGTTTGATGAAATTTATCTGATGGGTCATATATATGTACATGCATGCATGTATATGCACACGTTTGTATTAATGTGTGCCTATATATACGTGGATATTGTTTGGGTAGGGTTCATGTTATGCATGATTATATCAATTGCAGATACTTGTGACGCCGTGGAAGAATCGCCGGAGCAGATTTTTGGGTCGCCGGAGATGGAATTCTCCGACGTCTCCACCGGCTACTTGGAAGACGCACTGATCGAGTTCAGCGAGAGACACAAACGGAGACGTCTTTCGTTCTGCGTCGATGATCAAGCCAAATTTTTGGACGATATTTCACAGGTCTTTTTTTTCTTCTATTTCAATAATCATTCATATTTTCAAATGTGTTTATAGACAATCTTTTTTCTGAATGATTAGTTGGATAATTAAATTTATTCCGCTGATTTTGGAAATGTTTGCAGAACAACTGGGGCCTGTCTGGCAATTATAGTTGCATGAATAGTCAGTTGGCTGCAGGTGAGACCTACTCTGTATTATATATGGTGCTGGACATTCCACGTATTCTATATACTTGGTCGTATTTATAATTTCGATCTTAATGCACTTTTTATTTTCGTTATGATTACATTATATGAAATCTAAATAATTTCGCCTTGCATGCATGTATGTGTGTAGATGAACATAAGAGTGGAATGGGGAACGTCGAAGAGGCATTCTCTGACGTCATCTTCGAATCTCCGAACTCGTCGTCTTCTTCCGACAGATCTGTTCAAGAAAAATCTCCTGTTTATCCAAAAGTGTCTCCGGAACCAACATCCTCATACACTGGTAGATCTTGTCTCAGCATTTGTAACCGTTTCGATATTAATAAACCAAGTCTTACGAGTAAGATATTGCAAGCACGGTCCACAGTATTTTTAATTATATATATCTGACAGGGAATAACGAGCATAAGAAGACGAAGAAGAGAGTGGTGTATCCATTTGCATTGGTGAAACCGGGAGGTGGAGAAGACGACGTAACCCTAAACGACATAAACGAGAGGATTCTGATGCCGCCGACTCGGCCGGTTCGTCATCCGGTCGGAGATTTCGCATATCGGCCGTGCGTGTCGGCTCACGGTCCTGGTCTCTCGGGGAAAGCCGTCGTGGCTCTTACGAGGATCCAAACCCAAGGGAGGGGTACAATCACCATCATCAGAACAAAGGGGTGAACCCTGTAATAATGGTGTTTTACGTACTGGGGACGTCGTTGGGGGGAAAAAAACACGTTCAGAGCCAATTTTATCGTTGGTTTTTTTTTTTGACGAGTTTTAAATGTTTTTATGTTTAGAAACTTTGTATAGAAAGTTGGTCGAGGTTATTGTATGATATTGGGTGATGGGGATAAAATATGTGATAATTTTTCCCCTCTATTTCGGTTTCGTTTTTTTGGCATGTTTGAAGGGCGAAGATTTTTTTTTTTTGGTGAAAGATAAAGTAAAAGTAAAAAATGGAATATTTAAAAGGCCAAAAACAACAAAAATAAAAGTGAATGTTATATTTTGCTTTTTTATGTTAAAATAATAAACCCAACTTTTCAATAAAATCCATAAATATATATTAATATTACGAGCAGAAATCGACGGGGGATCATATATTCCGTAATTAAAATTCGAAGTTGATTAGTAGTATAATGGACCAACCTTTATGGGGCCATGATAATATCAGCTTGAGATCATCACCATATACGAACGGTGTGGATTCGAGTTAAAGGTATGGAGTGACGTCATGCTTATGCAAGAACACTTCGGTAGGCATTAGCTGTACGGCAACGGCAGAGAGAGAGAGAGTCATGGGGTTAGACGTAGCATGTGCATAAAGAGGCCATGTTTTTTTTTTAAAAATTATTATATGTTGGTGGGGATTTGTTAAAAATGGTGGTAATAGATTAAATGCTAATTACTGTTTATTGCAATTATTAGTACTATTTTTATTGCAGTTGATTTTAAATTAAATGGGTAATTATTAGTGGTGGTTACAATTATTAGTTCTGCAAAGGACGAGCATACCTTTTGACCTTGGTGGCTTGGGTTATGCAAATTTTCTCTTGCCATATCTGATTTGGTAGACCCTGGTCCCCGTCCATCATAATATAATTTATTGCGACAATTGATTTTGTTCCTGACTATTTAAATACCATTTCCATACGTATGTGAACAATACAATATTCGAGGTAACGAATCATGGATGTTTCCTTACTAAATAGAATTTTTATATATATATATATATATATAAAAGACATCCTAGAAGAAGTATGAGGTAATTCCCTCGATACTTTCTTTTTCCCAAATCCCAACCAAGTCGAAGACAGAGACATATCCTCCTATGATTTCGTCTATTTGTTTATTGTCTACGGGGCTATCTTATTTAATCGAAAATGGCTTTCCATGTTTTTTTAAAATTTTAATGCATAAATTGCATTTCCAATGGTGGTGATATAAATATGCCCCAAAATACATGGCATTATATGATATCTAATCTCATCTGACTTCTACATAAACACCCACACATTGAATATTGTCATATTTGAATAATATTTTCCATATATTCTACAAAATTCAGAAGGTATTTGCAAGTATTCTAGTTCACATTAGAATAAATGCAAAAATAAAATAAAATTGAAAGCAAAAAATTAGAGAAAAATAGTGAGGTTTTGGAATCTCGTAACAAGAAAAAAAAAGTCATTGGTACTACTATTTGGCATGTAATAAATATGATTTGTTTTTTTAAAATATTATATATTTTATTCATTATCGTGATGACAACAAAGGCCATGATGGTATAAATGGGCTTTAGTGGAGACAACTAAAGCCCGATTTAAGTTTCTATCGAGCCGACAATGTATATGGGCTATACTAAGAGCCCGATACTAAATCCCAATTCCTTCTAACCGCTACTACTGAAGCAGAAGATGAGATCCTCTGTTAGAGAGAGAGAATTCCATATTGAGAACTCGTCTTTCTTGTCCGACTTCGGACATGTTTTCCTTCTCCTTTTCGGTTGTCGCCATTTGTATTCAGTAATATTTAAGACAGAAATCTGAACTTAAAAAGATGTTCATACGGAATACAGCGATTTTCCGGACGTGGAAAACTCTGTTCATCTCCTTCCGAACCATAAAACATCAGAGCGTAGGCAGCCACCATTCATCGTCATCAGAGCTCCTGTGGCACTATTTTTTTATATTTATTTTAAATAAGAAATGACACAAACAGTAGCAATAACAACAGAAGATATGCTACAAAAAAACCAAATGGGTTGTGTTTCAGAGACCGTTCCTGAAAACGAGTCTACTCGGCGAATCGATTCTCACTATGATCCCTTCGTCTTCAGCTCCAGACTCCTCGCTCGACTCATCCTCGTCATCCACCCTTCCCCCATGCTGACCCTGTTTCGTGCTGCTCTCGGCTGACATTTCCTGATGGAATCTCCTCTCGAATTTCTGAGTTTCTAGCTGTTTCCGGGTCGTTATGGACCCTTCCGATTTTGCCGAGACGAGACCTTGGCCTGGGTACGAAGGAGCCTTCTGATAGCTCAAGTTGTGTTGCGGCTTGTTTCTGACGCCTGTGAAACTCAAGCTACGTCTGTACACATCCACCTGTCGAAACCCGGGGTTTAGTCCGAAAACAGTGTCAATCTTTGTTCTAACACATCAAAATGATAGCTGCCATTACCGTGCTGCCGAAGATGCTTAGTTGCATAGCTCGCTCAGACAAGCTGTTTGCATTTCTATCGGTCTTGTAGGAGTCTCTCAGCTGAGGCTGCTGTCTGGCTCTGTGGAATGGTTCGGGCCAGCTCATCAATCCTCGATGCTCTCTGCTAAAGGTTCTCTGTATCTGATCGCTGCCTTGGGGCGTCATCAAGGAGGATGGTCTTCTCAGGAGAGTTCTCTCTGCTTCAAAAGCCCCGACATCGAAAATGATCACCCTTGCCCTTGTCTCGGCATTATACCGAGTCACTTGATATGAAAAACTCGCTCTCAAAGTACCTGTGACGGAAAAAAGAAACAGTCGCTTGATTTCTGCAAGCTTATGTATGGAGTAGAAATGTGAAGGAGGTACCTGATGCATTTGAGCCATGGAAACTCTGATTCATATTTGAAGGCAAAAGTGCTGCAGGGGAAGCTATAAGCTCTTCTTGACGACCGAGTGATGATTTTATAAATCCTTCTAATAAGAGACCTATGCAATTATGAGTGATTTCTATCGTTTCTCCCGAAACATATGTCGTAAGTTTCGAGCTTTCTGCAACAAGGGCTCGTAATTCTTGCATTGTTACTTTCTCAAATATCTGAGGAAGCAATAGTTTCGCGAGCACGATCGCACTTTCCTGCCAAAAGAAAGGGAAGAAAATCAGAAACATATGAAAAATGTCGATATCAGAGTATGTTCATCATATCTAAATATAAAGGTTACCTGCCAAAGGAAATCTTCAACTGCGGGATCTGATCGGAGACTTGAAAGAATTTTGTCGCTTTCGATGAAAAAGCAAAGAACAACGGAATCTGCGATGATATCGCACATATATGGCTTTCCCGTCAGCACCTCGTACAGTCCCAACGTACTTCCATGAGAAAATGTAGGATGCAACGAGTGCTTGTTGCTTAAGCTTTTGCTCGCCCACTGTTTTGTGCATATCACAATTCGCAAGTTTACGAAATATCCATTATATTGAAATATTTTTTTTTAAAGAAAAGATTTTAATTTCACCTTTACAATGCCATTAGAAATAAGCCAGATTCCAGTAGGCTTAAACCTTTCCCGGTAGAGTGTGACGCCACGAAGTTTCATAGTTTCCTTGGTGGAGTGTTTAAGCGGCTCACGGATGGCAGAAGGAAGGGCTCCCAATAAAGGATGAGTGGCAATCATATCGGTTATCTTTGGAAGTTTTACGAGAGGAGGATTTCTCAAAAGCCTCTTCAAGTCTGTCTGCAAATGAGGGGAGAGAGAGAGAGAGAGAGAGAGAGAGAGAGAGAGGGGAGGAGCAAACAGATAAAAAGCATAAGAGGAAAAGGACATAAGAAAGAAAGAAGAATGGTTTTGACAAGATGAGCTTTACCTGTACAGCATCATGAAGATGAGCAACCTCTTTACCCTCCAACAGGCCAACACTCTCGAGGTTTCCGATGTAATCAATTAGATGATTCAGTACTGCGTGTGTTACTTGTCTCGTTTTCACTACCCGCAAAACCTGGCAAAAACCCGGCTTAATGTTACACGACCATCTTCTTGTTTCAGAAACATGCCTTTGTTCATCCTTTTCTATCTCCATTTGTAAAATGTTCTAAAGTTGCTCTTTTTCCAGCAAAAGTTCCTCATCATTATTTTAAGTTCAAACCTGGGGAAATGAAGCACGAACGTCTTCCAGGAATTGTTTTGCTTCCTCTGCTTCCACTTCACTTTCATTTATAACAATGGAGGCAATATCACTCTCCCCTGTGGATAGAAGAAGATTTCTTTTTACAAACAAGTGAATGGAAAAGATGAACTTGTCATTTAAACCCGGTACCAAATAGACGGTAGATATTTGATCGATAACCCAACCCGCCACCTAGTCCAGAAGGCACGCATTTCACGTTTTTTACATTCAAACCTCATAAGCTCATTGGCATAGATATTGGACAGATAATCCAACCACATAAATCCAACCTTTCTGAGTCCTTGCTTCCAAAAAGTAAAAATATAAAAAACTGAATTAAGATGAAACATACCTAGAAAGTCATGCAACTGCTGCCGCGCAATCCTGTGGGCACGGAGAAATGCAGCAGAAATGTAGCAAGCAGATTCGAGTCTTTCAACCGTGAAATATGTGACCAACTTACGGGGGCTAATCCTTGTTTGAAGAAACCTGTAGTAATTAGGGAAATGGACATGCGGTTTTAGGCCTCTCCAATCGCGTAAAGGCTCATCTGAAACCAAATCAATGGCTTCGTCCACTGATTGCATCAAAATATTGGCGGTAGTTTGCATGATTCTCCCCTCGTCAAGCATCCCCCAATATGCTGATTGGACACCTGAATGCATAATGGTTGAACAAGTTTTGAAAGGTCAATAAACTAACAACAACTAAAAGGTTTAGCAGCTTGAGCTGAGTATATATATACACATATTACCATTCAAGAATCGTATACGTATATCCTTCAAACTGGTACGGTCAAGATCAACGGTTTCAGATCCACCACGAGGATGAACTTCTTCCCCTTCTAAATCTTTGAAGCTTGAAATATATCTTTTAACTGTAGGCCAGTCAGCAGGTCCTAACTCCTCATCATCTCCTAGATCTTCAAAAGCTTGTAAGGCCTTATTCATCATCTCATACTTTGTGTATTCTAATATTCGTTTCTGCCAAGAGAAAAAGGTAATCACTACTAACCAAGAAAGAGAAATATAACAACCTTCTTCACCTTCTAAAACTGAAATATATATATATATATATATGCTTCACTTCTTTTCAAATTGTAAATATTTTTCTGATGGAATGTGAGAAAGTACTCTGGAAAAACATAAAAGTACAAAACTAAGATGTTAGAAGATTAGATAAAATCCTTACCTTGGTGGCAGATAAGTTGTCCATGCGAAGAAGGTGTAAAACGAACTGGGTAGTGGATCCATTAACTATCAGAGTTAGGAACACAATCCCGCCTGTCAAGAAAAGAAACTACAGAGCAATTGAACACATTAAGAAAATAAAAAAATGATAATTCAGTGTGGATAATAACATTCTTATCGGTTTTCCCGACTCACCCGAGTTCCTGTTTCTGAACTTAGAAACGAGTTCCCACTGGATTGCTGAAACAAATGATAAACAAGTACATTAGATCTAGCAAGAAAGCAAGCATATCCCACGCTGTCCAATACAATAGATCTGTCTTTTTGAAAACTCACCTTAACAGATAGAGAGAGCGACAGAGCCACAGCACCTCTTAATCCAGACCACACGAGTATGATGGCTTCCTTCCAATCCAAGCCATATCCAAAACGATGTAGAAATGGAAATAGAACTCCAACAACAACAACACGTGAGAGTTGGACATATAAGTAGAGGAGGAAAAGATAGCCCCACGAATCCCCTGGAACAAAACTTAGGGTCAGGGAGAGCATCTATCCATTGTGTATGTATATACATATCCATATATATATCTAAGAGTAATAAACTTAAGGAAATCAGATGCCCAGTGCAGTCATCATATAAGATATCGATGATACAACCGGGGCTATATTGTTCCCGCATCCATATCAGATTTGACTCACTGGATAAGAATCCTGTGTTAGTTAAGTCCTCATAGTTATATTTTCTTTTTGCCATGGATGGTACCTTGGTAAGAAATTTTCTCGCTACCAAGAATGCCTTCAGCAATGACAACACCACTGCAAAAGCACAAGAGAAACAAATGCATTGTAAAAGCTGTAGCAAATTACCAAACGCAGACTGTAGTGAAACAAAACTTTGCTGGATAAGGAAAACAAATCCATTCTATAAAATGCAGCGAACAGATCAATCAAAGGATTTTGGCTGACAAGCAATAACAAATTTTACTACAAAGCTAGTTTATTGCAGTCATATTTGCACGATAACCAGCAAATCCTCTGATTGTGTTATAACACTTACCTGAGGATAAAAATCAATGTGTTTGCAATATAAGCAACCATTTCCCTACGATGTAATCAATTAGATGATTCAGTACTGCGTGTGTTACTTGTCTCGTTTTCACTACCCGCAAAACCTGGCAAAAACCCGGCTTAATGTTACACGACCATCTTCTTGTTTCAGAAACATGCCTTTGTTCATCCTTTTCTATCTCCATTTGTAAAATGTTCTAAAGTTGCTCTTTTTCCAGTGAAGTTAAAAAGTACTTCCAGAAGTCCTTACCAAAAGTGATGCAAACTCTGTTGACTGTCGCCCTTGAATGCTGTCCTTGCCAGTGCAGCATAAAACCTGTCATGATTTTTATATGACAAGTGGTTGCATGCAAGATAAGCAGAACTAAAAGAAAAAAAGGCCAAACTAGTTCACTGTGACTTACATTCCCAAAGCCATCACAGTCAAAACGCCAGAAACCTCAGCCCATTCTTGAGCCTGCCACACATCGGGAGATTCTTAGCTGTTCTACGGAGATAAGACTATGACACTGGAGTCCAAGGTTTGGAGGAAGAACATACAGTGTAATATGCAAAATAGCTCACTGCTAGAGTCAAAGTGATCTCTATGACTGTGTCATTGAATATGAATCCAAGCCAAAGAACTGATGCAATGCCGAAAGCCAGACCAATACCTACACTAAACAGACAGAAATAAGTGGAACAACTCTAAAAATACAAGCAACACAATACCAATAAGATTGGAAAAGGGTAAGACATACGCTCCAAGTGCGACTTGAGTCAGAAATTTGATTATGGAACCAAAGTCAGAGTTATGCCCCATAACCATTTTGAAGAATAACTGGAAAACCACAATTGCTGTCCTGGATTTCGAAAAATAATTAAGCTTGAGCAAAAAAATCATCATAAAATCACAAGACCTTCACAAAAAAGTTTAAAATTTTATAGAATGTTTACATGCTTACCCATCATTCATAAGGGATTCTCCTTCAATTATAGTGCTCAGCTTCTTACTAGCACCAAGCTCTTTCAGCAAAGCAACAACTGCCACGGGATCGGTAGCACTCAGAAGTCCTCCAAGCAGCAATGATGTTTTCCAATCCCAGTCATACGGAAAAGTGAACTACAAAAGCACCTCAGATGCATTAAAAACTCAAAATTGTCAACGTGTGTGATCTACACATAACAAGCTAGCAACGTTCTTACCTTCAGAAGAAATCCAAGACAAAAGGTTGAGATAAGAACCCCAGGGCCAGCAAGCAGAACCATTTGTGCCAGACACATCTAATGAATCATGTAAATACACAAGAACAAAAAAAAAATTAGCACCCTTTAGCCCAAGACTTACTAGAACTATAGAATCCTGAAGAATGTTCAAGACGCTGGTCTTCAGACAAACTCTTCAAAACATGAGGAAGGAGCTCAGTTACAGATAACTTTGAGAATCATAAAGAGGATAACAAAAAAGCGAACCTTGATCTGGTGCACCTCCATTGAGAATGAACTCTCGAAAAGAAGAGCAGGGAGAAAGACAGCCAAAAGAAGATCAGGGTCAATATCGTTCCCTGCAGAATAACATCAAGATCAATGCTGCAACCAAAAGCCTGTTTGCACAAACAGATCATGATTGTTTACAGCCACTGAACTATCACTGTCAGAGTAGAGCAGAAATCTGGGAACTTACAGATGCGAATCCCATGGCCGATCTTCCCAAGGTTATGGCTAGTTCCATACTCTGCCAAATCACACAACTGGAGTTACAACTAAACGAAACCAAATTATAACTGCCGATCTCTGAATTTTCCTTTTCAAGGAAAGTACCAAACTTGCCTGTTGAAATCAGGCAAAAAGTAGTAGCCTTTCATGCGAAATCGATTGGTAACATGGAATTCAAGATGATCTAGTCAAAACCCATTGAACCAAATGAAGGAACACACACACAGTTTCAGCCATTCCTGCTCAGATTTTCCCGGAAACAAGCAGAGGAAGACAACTCATGGAAACTAACAGAGCTAAGCAAAAAAATAAAGAAAGAAAGAAATCAAACCTAGAGAGCCGAGAGCAATGCCGATGACAAGGAGGGCGACGGTGTACGGAACTCTAGTGCCACGAAGCAAATGCCTTGAAGCAATTCCGAGCACCAGCGACATCCCGACGAAGATGACGGCGTCGACGGGGCTCGATTCTTCTCCTGAAGACGACGAATTCGAAGCAGATGGAGACGTTGAATTCATCTCCTCCAAAATCCGATACGGCAACACCGCATCGATTACGCTCGCCATTTCTGCCATCTCAGAGATCATTAACCGCAAATAAGCAAATTTGAAGAAGAAGAAGAAAATTCAGGTAACTTGGAACCAAGGACTGTATGTATGTACATACATGTTCTTCTATGTAACAAGCCTGCAGTTAATACGAGTCATTTGCCTCCGTTGATTTACATACCAATTTTAAAAATATTTTATTTCGAATATCTTCTATAAGTAGTGTAAAATGCTTAACAAATTACCAATAACACCCCCATTTTTACCATTTTTTTTTTGCTATTGATATTTTCCCCAAAAACTAATTGTTTTTTTTTCATGTAAAAATGCTCCCTAGCGTGAGAATAATATCTCTCGTGTATTTGAATATTTTAGATTTTATATACAAAAATTGGATTTAAATAGCTTATTCTATGTATCGGTATTTGTATATCGTTAATTGGACAGTATTTCATTCGTATTATAATGTGAAATGATTATTTAATACAATGTATTGATGACAAAAGCAAAATGAAAAACAGTGTGATTTGTTGACGTTTATCTCGTGAACCTAACTGATAAGACCAATTTTTTTTTTTTTTTTTTTTCCGCCGACTATTACATGATCTGTTTTTTTAAACAAAAAAATTAATACAAAAATAAATAAGAGTCCACGATTCGATTATATTAAAATGCCGATTCCTTGTCCGACCCCCCCAAGTCTCATTAGGTAGTCAGTGGCTGTCGCAGTGGCGACAACTTTTAAATATAATAAAGGTTTATTAGATCCAATCACAGTGAAACAGCCAGATGATCCCATGATATATATATATATATATATATATATATATATATATTATAATTGGCCTAATTTCAAATAGCTATTAAGGTGAAAAATTCGAGAGAAGACAATTCAATATATCAAACCCAAGACGTACTTATGCTTAATTATCATATCATAATAGTATATGGGTATGGGCTTTTATCGATTTTGGGTTTACAAATAGAGGATATTTTATATTGGGCCTTTTCTAATCCTTTCACATGTATTGGACTGTGGGCTAACTCTTATTACTCAGCCCGATTTATTATTTTACTTTTTTTAAAAGGGAAAATTCTAGATAAAAATATTTAAAAATTTGGAATTTCCCCTTTTTGAACCCAATACATGTATTTTTAAAATATTTTTTTAACAAATTCATATAATTATTTAGAATTTTCCCTTTAAAATTTTTTTTGTCGGCTGCAATTTTTTTATTCGGTTGCATTAAATTACATAATGTTTTTTTAATCTCTAATAAAGGTAGTATGTGCATAAAAATAGATAGTTTTCTGCTCTTCTTATTCTTAATTTCCAATAAAGGTGCATGAAAATAGATAATTTTCTATATCTATTGTTGGAACGTGTGCTAGAAAAACACAACTTAAAAATGCACGTTACATTTTTGTTCATGTACATTTGATTATTTAATGCAATTCTACATTTCCAGTTAAACATTTGCATGGAATTAAAGGTAAATAATTAATGTTGTAATATAACAAAAAAATGGTAAACGATTGCCTTTGATGAGTTATGAATTAGCAAATGGACTTGTTAGAGATTTTGAGAATTATCACAGATAGTTTTGTAGATAAATTTCAACTAAAAAAACTCTAAATCATTTGTAAAGAGTTTTAAGTAGTTCACTTCACATGTATTATTTTCAAAGTGTAACGTTTTAAGAAGTAAATAATGTATTTTATACCAAAAAAAAAGTAAATAATGTATTTCATTTAAGTTCAAAATGAAATTAGGGGAAAAAACTTGGGGGTGTATAAATACAAAATCCATCGTCGTGGTTTGGCCATTTTCCTTCCCCCCAAATAAAAGCAAAGTCAGATCTCACGATTTCCCCCATCTCCTTCTCGTAGGAACGGGAGAGAAAACGCCATGAGATCACCGACGATGTTGCTTCCCTTCCTCATCGGAGCTCTCCTCTTCTCCGGCATCGAACATGTCAGATCCGACGCTTCCGACCACCGTTACAAGGAAGGCGACTCCGTTCCTCTCTATGCCAACAAGGTCGGACCATTTCACAATCCGAGGTAACGATTTCGTCTATCATTCGCTTTCCTTGAGATTCCTAGATCTGGACTTAGAGATCTGACATTCTATCGGCTTCCAAACGGGGGTTTGAGAGATTGATCGTCGACTACACAAGCGATTGTTGTTAGCTACGATTAGAATGAATCTGTTGCTAGTGAGATCCCGAAATTCGGGAACAGTAAGATGCGTAACGTAGTCTCAGAGGATGAGAAGGATTAGTTTTTGGAATGTTGTCGACAGCGGTGAGGATGGATCATTCGAGCGCTTCCGATTTAGGTTTTGATTTCTTGGTTACTGATTATGCGTTTCCTTCGATGGTGATTGCAGTGAAACGTACAGATATTTCGATCTGCCCTTCTGCGTTCCAGGTATGGATACGTCTTATTGCTGAAATTCGTTTGCTGGTATTTATCCAGCATTGCGTTGATTTCTCGGCAACATGGTGTATACGTTTGACCAATTGAGTTACTGTTACAAGTGAGAAAGAACAGTACAAGGGGAGAGGAAAAACTAAACCGATTTCAAAATTATGGATTCCAATTCATCATGTGGAGTAGGACAAAATGAGGCTAGATAGAAATATAAAATTTGGAAAGAAAAAAAATATGCATTCTGGATTGAAGGCTACATGATTTATTGATTCAAGTACTGTGTTTTAGATCATGGGCTATGTAATTCATTTCATTTTCTAATCTGATCGGAATTGGATTTGATTCACAGACGGTGTGAAAGAGAAGAAGGAAGCTCTTGGTGAGGTTCTGAATGGTGATCGGCTTGTTAGTGCTCCATACAAACTCAACTTCAGAGAGGAAAAAGACTCTGAGGTGTACTGCAGCAAGAAGCTTAGCAAAGATGAAGTCAAACAGTTCCGGAGGGCTGTCGAAAAAGACTACTATTTCCAAATGTACTATGATGATTTGCCTATCTGGGGTTTCATTGGAAAGGTTGACAAGGAGGGCAAGGCTGATCCGAGCGAGTTCAAATACTTCCTCTACAAGCACATCCAATTTGAGATTCTCTACAACAAGTACCGTGTTATTGAAATCAGTGCCAGGATGGATCCTCATTCCCTAGTGGACCTCACCGAGGACAAGGAAGTTGATGCAGAGTTTATGTACACTGTCAAGTGGAAGGAAACAGAGACTCCATTTGAGAAAAGAATGGAGAAGTACTCCATGTCTTCATCCCTTCCACATCACTTGGAAATTCATTGGTTCTCCATCATAAACTCTTGTGTCACTGTCCTCCTTTTGACTGGTTTCCTCGCAACTATCTTGATGCGTGTCCTCAAGAATGATTTCATGAAGTAAGTTTTGCTGTTGTCTCTCTTCACTTCACAATTATTGACAAGGCGTTTTCCTTATCCAGTTGTTGTCTTCAAACCTGTAAGGTATGCCCAAGATGAGGAAGCTGCTGATGATCAAGAGGAAACCGGATGGAAGTACATTCACGGTGATGTGTTTCGATTCCCGAAGCAAAAATCTCTGTTTTCAGCATGTCTCGGCAGTGGTACCCAACTGTTCACTCTGTAAGTTCCTTATCAATGGCAGCGATTCACCATTCTAGATATGTTTTCTCACATCTCTGTCTGTATGTCTTCTTCTGACTGTTGACTCTTTTTTTTCCTCCACGACACCAGCACTGTCTTCATTTTCATGCTTGCTCTTGTTGGGGTGTTCTATCCATACAATCGTGGAGCACTCTTCACTGCTTTGGTCGTCATTTATGCTCTCACATCTGGAATTGCTGGCTATACTGCCGCTTCATTCTATGGTCAACTCGAAGGAAAGAACTGGGTATTGCTGCACGTGCATCCCTTTCTCAAAAAGCGTATTTTTAACACAAACCTTAGACTCTGATCGCTACATTGTCATCCGCCTTTTTTTTTGCAGGTGAGGAACTTATTGCTGACCGGATGCCTCTTCTGTGGCCCTCTGTTCCTGACCTTCTGTTTCCTGAACACAGTTGCCATTGCCTACAGTGCAACCGCCGCTCTCCCCTTTGGAACCATCGTGGTGATCGTACTCATATGGACACTTGTCACATCTCCATTGCTCGTGTTGGGTGGCATTGCCGGAAAAAACAGCAAAACCGAGTTCCAAGCGCCATGCCGTACAACAAAGTACCCAAGGGAGATCCCTCAACTCCCATGGTACAGGAGCGCCATTCCTCAGATGGCAATGGCGGGTTTCCTCCCATTCAGTGCGATATACATAGAACTGTACTACATCTTTGCCAGCGTATGGGGACACAGGATCTACACCATATACAGCATATTGTTCATCGTCTTCATCATCCTTCTGATCGTCACAGCTTTTATAACGGTGGCCCTCACGTATTTCCAGCTAGCTGCTGAAGACCACGAATGGTGGTGGAGGTACGTGTTTTCTAGGATGTAAAAATACGTACTTTGAAAAGGGAGTAATGTGAGATGGTAATGAAACAGGTCATTCGTATGCGGGGGATCGACGGGAGTGTTTATATACGCGTACTGCTTGTACTATTACTACGCGAGATCAGACATGTCGGGATTCATGCAAACGTCGTTCTTCTTCGGGTACATGGCGTGCATCTGCTACGGCTTCTTCCTGATGCTCGGTACCGTTGGCTTCCGGGCTGCCCTCCTCTTTGTCCGCCACATCTACCGCTCCATCAAATGCGAGTAAAGCATCCCTTGCCTTTCCCCCTATATATTTTCTTCTGCCTTTTTTTGGTTACGTTTTTTTGTTAGGAACATGAAAGAAAGAAAAAAGGATGCTTTAGGTAGAAGGAAAGAAACCACTTATCAACATCGTCCGGAACATGGCAAGGTGGGGTTTCTCAGGTTTTTCACGCAACTTATTTAAATTTTGTTGCTAATTAGACGGATCTGTGTTAGGGTTAATCACTTGTATCCCTTTTTTTTTTTGTTTTACGTAAAATACAATGAACCATTTATTTAATGTGTTTTCTTTTTGTATCTAATAAATGTCAACACTCCTCCGGCTTCACCTTACCTTGCAATTTGCATGTAGCAACTCGTATGTTATGGGTACATAGAGTTGGAAAGTGTGGTATCCATGCTGGGGTTGGTAACATCTTGTACGAGGTTTCGGTTATCTGGCTAAAATTTGAGAGCATGACCAGCATGTAAGAAAACGACAAAAAAATATTGGGAATTTAACAAAGGCAGGCTGGTTGCGATCTGAGAGAACGAAATGTATGTGAGGTTTACGTAAAGATCGTGGGAGAGTATGGATCCCATAAAGAGGGTCGTAGTCGTGCCTCCAGGCCCACTAGAATATGACGTCTGACGTGGCGGTGCGAGGAGGCGTGCTCGTCAGGACAGTTCTTTCATCTTCAATTTTCGTTGGTTTTGGGATCGACAACAATCATTACATCCTCCTTGTTCAATGCGCCAAACCAAAACCCCTAAATATATGCGATGATAAGTTCTAAATTCGATCATCTTCCTTTTCTTTTCCTCAGCTTGTTTAACTAATGACAATCTGATTTGAAGATATTTGCATAAATATATATCATTATAGATGGGCACAAAAAATGTTTTTTTTTTTTTACAGAAAGATATTGAAATGTGTTGAAAATGAAATTTGGTCACATAGGGGGTTGGGGGAAAAGAAGACGGAAAGAAGGGAACCCAGTTTTGCTGAAATTCTGTCAAAAATGGGACGAAATCTAAAACTGACATTGACCATATTTCATCACATCACAGAGAGAGAGTTATGTATCCACCAATCATATGAACACAGTGAAAGTAAAAAAAAAAAAGAGTTGAAATTCCACGACGCGTGCCACTCGCGACAGGGGTCTAAAAGGTGTATACAATATATGATTATAACACCTACAGAAAAAATATATTATGATAACGCGCACAAAAAAAAAAGGAACGGAAAACACAGTTCAATAATTCGTAACTAAATTCATCTGCTCACATGCTTATTACCATCTTTATAATCATGCATATTGCTGTCGACATTGAAATATTTACTTTGATTGACCAGTCTTATTATAAATCAGTTGATATATAATAGGTTATATATGTATATAAGGGTTTTGGAGATTTGCATTTTATTATTGTTGGCGTGCGAAAGATGTTACCTACCAAACAACATCTGGATATATTATTCAAGAATTATCTTCTTTCATCACTAACTTTATTGTCTTCATGTAAAAAAAATGTTTGTATTAGTAAATGACTGGATATATATATATATATATATATATATATATATAAAAGAGAGAACACGTTTGAAGATTTATATGAATACCCATCACATCTATTTTTTTCATGCAAAAAAATCGAATATAATCATATCTAAAAGATTCTTTCGTTAATTATCAAGAGGGTAAAATTATATGTTATAATTCCGTGGAATAAACTTTATTTTGTCCAAATGATTTGAGAGGTCATATGCATGCGTTTGGTTGACCACTGAGTGCTTTTCACAGTTCAAAATTGGATTCATCCACCGCTGCAAAATAGCATATGATCGGTTGGTATATATATCTTCACGAGCTGTGAAATCCAAGCATTATTTCTTTCAACATTAATTTATTATTTTATTATTCCCTTTTTTGCTGACTTTGGTATGTCCTCCAATTTAAGTGGCGCTTTAATAATATATATATAATTTAATCCTCGAATATTTGTGAATCCGATATGGACGAGGGGTTGGTTTATAAATGTTATATATGCGGATAATCTGAGTGAATGGTGCGTGTTATCAAAGTTTCAAAATATTTTCCTAGTTAAAACCTCGCATTATTATCTATATCTAAATCATCTTCATATCTATACGAATATAAAGTATATAATATTTACGTAAGATTTCGAAAAAAAGGACCAATAATGAACGATCGAATGGTCCGTCATAAAGGAAAATTGAAACACGTTATAGCTCATTCAGATTTTTATCCAACTGTTTGCGCAAACTGTCACCAATGCAGTTCCTATAAATGAAAATTTCTAATTCTTACACATATATGCAGTTCGTGAGATCAAATAATTGTCTTTATACGCGTATATGTATCCGTATGATATTAAAATATAAACAAGGATAGGATTTTTAAAGATTGTGATATTGTGTATATATATATATAGTGTGTGTGTGTGTGTATATAAATAATGCATGCGTACGTGTATATGTCTACCAAAGTGGGAATAGTTCCTGATTACCAGCTAAAAAGCTCATCTTTGACATTTAACAATTAAAACGATTCTCGGAGGATTTCTTTCTTTTTTTTTTCAAAAACAATTAAAAGTTTATGTGCATGTTATTTAATTAATCACGCATAAAAATATACTATTTATACACGAGTTGTATAATGCTTAATAAATAGATCATATAATATATTATACATAACGAATTTCAAATATACGTACAATAAATAGTATTAAACTAGTACAGAATTTCACATTCCAAAGCAATCCATGACAGTGTGAAATAAATAAATAGATAAATATTATACAGAGAGTTTAAAAAACAAATAGAAGGGGAAAAAAAGGTGGATAAAGAAAGAAAGGTAAAACAAGGCGATGGAGGAGGGCATATAGGAATCATAACTTGTGATGCCACTAAACCACGAGCTAATCGATGTTGTTTCTTTGGTGGGCCTTTCTTTTCCCACAATGCCCCTACGACTCCTCTCTCTAATATTATAATTTATTTTAAAAAACAAACCAAGTTTATGAAATAGTTATGCGGCTTGTTAATGTGTTATAGTCAATTTAATTTTAAAAAAAGGTGTGGAGCATGATACAAAAGGGTAAAGCCATATAAAAATGTGACAAAGGGAGAAGCGCAAGTGACCAACATAATGGTTACACATTCAAAAAGGGTTTGGCCCTCATCTACTGATGCAGAGCATCCCTACCTCACGCCTTCTGCTGTCACCCTCGGATCCATCAATTAGTTTTATCATCCAAAACCATTTATTGACGCTTATACATATATACTTGTATATAAACAAATGTATTTCAACGTATATGATTAATAATTGGGTCCGAACCCCTTTTGACCAAAAGCGGAAAATCAGTCTCCCTCTTGTCGAAATTCCTTTCCCTTTCATTTGTTTGTTCAAATTTTTCTTTAACTTCACCTGTTTCATTTGGGAGCAAAATATCCTTTTTTTGTGTATATTTTCAAATTCAATCCTCTCCGCTCCTCCAAATATGCGATCCAATAGCTTTTATATTCTCTCAAGATTGTTTCTTGAGTTTTATTTTAGGCTATTGTATAACTCGTATATATAATAAATACGCACTCAAAAATTTGCATTTTAAAATCTTTTACTCATGTCTTTGAATTATTCGAGAAATTTTCCAGCATTCACCACACACAAAATATCTAGAATATTCAGATAATACGGCGTAATTTGGTATTAATAAATTAAGATGTTTTATTCCTTCAAATTTTATAAAAACACAATGATCAAAAGCAGCTTTTTTTTTTTTTTTTTTGCAAAAGCTCTTTTTCCCCCTTCTTCTACTTTGGCATCACCGAACAAATCTTCCTTAACACTTCACCATTATCTCCCCTTCTTCTCCATCTGCGCATCTTCTCATCAATGGCCGGGTCTCCAATTCGGATCCGGGTCCCGACCCGAATCCAAATATCTCTCCTCCTCCTAGCCCACCTCTCCTTCTCTTCCTCCTCTATCTCCGCCGCCCAATCACCACCGTTAAATTCGCCGGAAAATTCAATCAGAACCGATGCAAAATCACTCATCTCCTTCAAGAACATGATCCAAGACGACCCGAATAACAATCTTGGCAACTGGATCCTTCGTAAAAGCCCCTGTGAATGGTCAGGAGTCACTTGCCTTCGAGGGAGAGTCTCTGAGATCGATCTCTCTGGCAGTGGCCTCAGTGGCACAGTCTCTTTCGACCCTTTCGCCTCTCTCTACTCCCTCTCTGTTCTTAAGCTTTCGGACAACTACTTCGTGTTGAACTCTACTTCCCTTCTTCACCTTCCTCTCGGCCTCACCCAGCTCGATTTATCCTCCTCTGTTCTTTCCGGAATTGTCCCGGAAAATTTCTTCCCAAAATACACCAACCTTGTCTCTGTGAATCTCTCCAGCAATAATTTGACCGGGAAGTTACCGGAAGATGTTTTCTTGGGACCCAAGAAACTCCAAGCCCTCGATCTTTCTCACAACAACATCACTGGCACCATGTCGGGTCTGAGCATTCCTCTGTCTTCTTGCGATTCTCTGTCGCTGCTCGATCTTTCTGGGAATAGCATCTCCGGTTATATCCCCGTCTCGCTTGTGAACTGCACCAATCTCAAAAGCTTGAATCTTTCCTACAATTCCTTCGATGGACAGATCCCGAAATCGTTCGGTGAGCTGATGAATTTGCAAAGTTTTGATCTTTCTCATAATCAGCTCACGGGCTTGATTCCACCGGAGATCGGAGACGCTTGCCGATCACTGCAACAACTCCGGCTTTCTTACAACAACATCACTGGTCCGATCCCTGATTCCTTGTCCTCGTGCTCTTGGCTTCAGATTCTAGACCTATCCAACAACAACATCTCCGGTCCGTTCTCGAACACGATTCTGCGGAACCTCGGGTCACTGGAAATCTTGCTTCTGAGCAACAATTTCATATTTGGGCAGTTTCCGGCGTCGTTTTCAGCCTGCAAGAGTCTGAGGATCGCCGATTTCAGTTCGAACAGATTCTCCGGCGTGATTCCGCCGGATTTATGTCCCGGCGCGGTGTCTTTGGAGGAACTGAGAATCCCCGACAACCTCATCACCGGGCAGATTCCGCCGGAGATATCTCAGTGTCCCCTGCTTCGAACTCTGGATTTCAGTCTGAACTATCTCAACGGCTCGATTCCTCCGGAGATTGGGAATCTCCAGAAACTCGAGCAGTTCATCGCCTGGTACAACAATTTAGACGGAAAAATCCCGCCGGAGATCGGAAAGCTGCCGAACCTGAAGGATCTCATCCTCAACAACAACCGCCTCACCGGCGATATTCCGTCAGAGCTATTCAACTGCAGCAATCTCGAGTGGGTTTCGCTCACCAGCAACGGATTAACCGGAGAAATTCCCCGAGAATTCGGAATTCTCTCGCGTCTCGCTGTTCTTCAGCTCGGAAACAACAACTTGACCGGAGAAATTCCGCCGGCGCTCGGAAACTGCAGCACCCTGGTTTGGCTCGACCTCAACACAAACCGGTTAACCGGAGAAATACCGCCTCGGCTAGGAAGACAGCCCGGTTCGAAGGCCATAACCGGTCTCCTCTCCGGCAACACGATGGCTTTTGTCAGAAATGTCGGAAACTCATGTAAAGGAGTCGGCGGTTTGTTGGAATTCTCAGGAATCAGACCAGAGAGGCTTCTTCAGATTCCATCTTTGAAGAGCTGTGATTTCACGAGGATGTACTCAGGAGCCATTCTGAGTCTCTTCACAAGATACCAAACGATCGAATACCTCGATCTCTCTTACAACGAGCTCCGCGGGAAAATTCCGGATGAAATCGGTGAAATGATCGCTCTTCAGGTTCTTGAGCTCTCTCACAACCAGTTGTCTGGCGAGATTCCATTCACGATCGGACAACTAAGGAACCTAGGCGTGTTCGATGCATCGAACAACAGATTACAGGGACAAATCCCTGAATCTTTCTCGAACCTCTCGTTCTTGGTGCAAATAGACCTGTCCAACAACGAGTTGACTGGTCCGATCCCTCAGAGAGGTCAACTCAGCACGCTTCCAGCGAGTCAATACGCGAACAATCCCGGTCTATGCGGAGTTCCATTGCCAGAATGCAAGAACGGAAACAATCAGATGCCGGAAACATCAGAGAACGGTAAACACTCAAAACGCTCGGCCTCAGGGGCATCATGGGCGAACAGCATTGTCTTGGGAGTGCTCATATCCGCTGCATCGGTCTGCATCCTGATCGTGTGGGCCATTGCTGCACGAGCGAGACGAAGAGAGGCCGAGGAGGCTAAGATGCTGCACAGCCTACAGGCCGTGAATTCGGCCACGACGTGGAAGATCGAGAAGGAAAAGGAGCCGCTCAGCATAAACGTGGCGACGTTCCAGCGTCAGCTTCGGAAACTCAAGTTCTCGCAGCTGATAGAGGCGACGAATGGATTCTCGGCAGAGAGTATGATCGGTTGCGGTGGATTCGGTGAGGTTTTCAAGGCAACCCTAAAGGACGGTTCTTGCGTGGCGATCAAGAAACTGATCAGACTCAGTTGCCAAGGCGACCGTGAATTCATGGCGGAGATGGAGACCCTGGGAAAGATCAAACACAGAAACCTCGTCCCTCTCCTCGGATACTGCAAAATAGGCGAAGAGAGATTACTCGTTTACGAGTTCATGCAGTACGGAAGCTTAGAAGAGATGCTCCATGGGAAAAGATGCGGGGAAAAACGAAGGATATTGACATGGGAAGAACGGAGGAAGATAGCGAGGGGAGCTGCCAAAGGGCTGTGTTTTCTGCACCATAACTGCATACCTCACATCATACACAGGGACATGAAATCGAGCAATGTGCTGTTGGATCACGAAATGGAATCTAGGGTTTCGGATTTCGGGATGGCGAGGCTGATAAGCGCATTAGACACGCACCTGAGCGTCAGTACCTTGGCGGGCACGCCGGGTTACGTCCCGCCGGAATATTACCAGAGTTTCCGGTGTACGGCCAAAGGTGACGTGTACTCGTTCGGGGTGGTGATGCTGGAGATTTTGAGCGGGAAAAGGCCAACGGACAAGGAAGAGTTCGGTGAGACAAACTTGGTGGGGTGGGCGAAGATGAAGGCGAGAGAAGGGAATCATATGGAAGTGATCGATGCGGACCTTTTGAACGGGAAAGAGGGTTCAGAACCTCTGAGCCAGGCAGAGGGATCGGTGGTGAAGGAGATGCTCAGGTACTTGGAGGTTGGGTTACGTTGCGTAGATGATTTCCCGTCGAAACGACCAAACATGTTGCAAGTGGTAGCTCTTCTCAGAGAGCTTCACGGAAGTAACGACAACAGTAACAGTAACAGTAACAGTAACAGTTCTTAAAGACCCTCCTCCCTGTTTTGGTAATGAAAGTTAACCTTCTGTTCTTTGAGTTGTGTTCTGTAATGTTTTGTTGACCAAATATATATATATATAAAAAAAACTTTACTCTGCATCTGTCACTATCTTCATTCTTTCTTCTCCTCTTCTTTTGTCCCAAATATATGTTTTATATATAATTATGTGTGGTTTGTAATGAAATCGTAAATCATATGATTTTAACCCAAAAAAAAAAAATCATAAATTATTTGAGGCCCATATATTTATTCGGACACCCACCAAGACAGACGTGTAGATCTCTGCAAGAAATATTCTGAAATTATTAGTGGCCCAATAATGTTGGGCTTTTCGGCCTTTACCAGTATAGTTGAGCCTACCCAATTATCTGTTGGGCTTTGTCTAAGACCATATGATACAACTGCTGACTCTTAATAAGCCCGTTAAATCGCAATACCAAAGAAAAATATATAAATATATAAGCAACAAATGCACGTAATATATAAACAAATACAATTATACACATGCAATATTATTCCCGAATATGGCAGAATTAGAATCTACGAATCATTTTTAATCCGTTAGATCGGAAAATAAAAAACTTCCCTGCTTCCTCGTAAGAAAATAAATGTTAATGCAAGACCAAACACATTAATTACTCTCAGCCAATTAAAAGAAGGGTCCTTTGGATTTATTTTGTATTTTTTACAAAATAAAAAATGGTTCATCTTTAGGTTCTCTCTCCTCTCCACCAGAGGACAAAAAATTTGGGTGGTCTTTTTCCTTCTCTCTCCTCTCTCATCTCCTCAAACTCTCTATCGTATGTTTATTCTCTCTCCTCTCTCTTCCAAGAAGGCAAAAAGGATCCCTTAAAGAGCCGTCTATACCAAAGCCATGTAAGTTTTCTCTCTCCTCAATCCATATATCCGTCCATGTCCTCTCTCTTTCTTATTTTTGAAATGCAAATGGGACCTTCTACTGTACCGCCTTTCCGTTTCCATTCCCATGAATTAGTTTTTTAATAAATATCTCCTTAGATATTCGAAATCTCTTGAAGTTCCTAAGATTTTGCTGCAGAGATCGCCGCTTTATGTCGCGTTCCCATTGATCTGCTTCTGGGTTTGTTTGATCTTGAGGCCCTTGTAGATCTGCATGTGGGTTTCGGGAGGGAACTCGAAAAACGTTGGGAAATTTTCGTAAACCGTGCAGTGTCGTGTTTGTTCTTATTAGTATATGAAACAGTTACAATCTGTTTAGAAATCTGTTAGTTAGTTATATGGCGGTTTATACAATCGGAAGTGTATTTAACATCTGTACAGAAAAAACAGAGTAATACAACTGGAGAAATTTTTCATTCTCTCTGCTCAGTTTTCTCTCTCGTCTTTCTCTCTCTGGGTTTTCCGGTCATCTTTCCGGCGAAACCTGAAATGGTATCAGAGCATTTTCTTTAGAATTTGCTTTTTCTGCGAATTTCTCTTTGTTTTTGATCCTCCCCAATGCTGCCGATCTTTGCGTCCTTCGGTAATGGATCGAGAGAAAGCGGATTGGACCCAGAATCCGGTTCCTACGACTCGATCCATTCTCTCAGAAGCTCGACATCCTCGATTTCTTTATTGCGCATCATCCTTGGGTCTTCTCATATTGACGAACAGGATTTGACGAAGAAAGTAAAATTAGGGTTTTAGCCGAAGAGATGTTCAAATTTCAGTAAGGGGGAAGGATTACAGTATATATATATATACACGATTTTGTGCTACGAAACTTTAGCATTAGTATGTTAAACAAGATTATTTGGTTATGGTAAAAATAAATAAATTCCTGCTAAACTATCTTCTATTCTAGGTTCAATGAGAGCTACAAAATCAGGAATGATCTGTAGTACATCACGCTTACATCTCAGCATATAAACCCATGTGACTCTAGAATGATCATCAACTATAGTAAGGAAATATCTATGACCCTCATTAGAAATTACAGAGAAGGGGCCCCATATATCTATATGCAAAAGATCAAAAGGAAAAGGAGACAAATTGTTATTGGAAACAAAGGGAAGTCTCTTTTGTTTGGCTTGGTGACAGACTTTGCAGTGTGGTATGGCTTTGTATTTGGAGATGGAAAGGTCTGTGGACAGGGTCTTTATTTTCTGATCTGAAGGATGGCCAAGTCTGGTGTGCCACAAGATTGTGTCATCACCGAGAGCGTTACATGAAATGGAAAATGGAGGTGGGTTTGACTGTGATAATTCGAGGAAGTATAAGCCTTGATGTAGCTTACCCTTCCCAATCATCCAAGCCTGAGAAGGCTCCTGTATATAACAAGAGTCGGGTGAAAAAGAAATTTGGAAAGGAAAACAGCGTAGTAGAGAACTAACACTGAGTATATTAAGATGAAAGATTGGTGCATATAGAACATTTTCCAACAGTAGTTGATGATTCAATTTCACTGAGCCAGCATGAGTTATATGCAGAGAGTGTCCATTCGGCAAACTAACCAACACTCAGACCTTGCCCGGGGTTGGTTTTCAGATACCGCACTACCCTCTGCGCCGCTTGCATATGTATATCTGTTGGAGCTGATAAAAACTGGCTAAGCTTGTGAGTGGCAAACGTAATATCTGGTCTGGTTATGGTTAGGTATAATAACCTTCCCACAAGACGTCTATAACTTGTTATGTCTTCAAGAGGAGTTCCAGCATCTTTACTCAAATGCGTATTTGCATCAAGAGGTGTAGATACTGGTTTACATCCCAATAAACCTGAATCTGAGATTAAATCCAGACAATATTTCCTCTGACACAGTGATATTCCCTTCCTTTGTCGTGCTATCTCCAATCCAAGGAAGAATCTCAAATCTCCCAAGTCTTTAATCTTGAATTTCTGTCTCAGTAGGTCCTTTACTTCTGAAACTGCATCAACACTGTCACTAGCAATAACAATGTCATCCACATATACCAGTAAAGCTACAAAACCAGATTTTGAACGTCTCACAAATAATGTGTGATCGGCTTTGGACTGCTTGAAACCATCTTCGAGCAGAACACTTGCAAATTTATGGTACCATTGTCGACTGGCTTGTCGCAACCCATATAGAGATTTCTGTAATTTGCAGACTGCATCCCGAGGCATGTTTCCAGATTGTGCATCAGTATAACCTGGTGGCAGAGACATATAAATCTCCTCCTCAAGGTCACCATGTAAGAAAGCATTAGTAACATCCATTTGTGTAAGAATCCAGTTCTGTTTTGCAGCCAAGGCAAGGAGCAACTTGACAGTTACCAATTTTGCAACAGGTGAAAAAGTATCTATGAAGTCAACTCCCTCTTGTTGTGTGAATCCCTTTGCTACCAAACGAGCCTTGTATCGCTCTACAGATCCATCAGCCTTTCTTTTTATCTTGTAAACCCATTTACAACCTACTGCCCGCTTTCCAGGTGGAAGAGAAACTACAGACCAAGTTCCATTTCCAACCAAAGCATCAAGTTCAACATCCATGGCTTTTCTCCATTCAACAGAAGATACAGCTTCTTTGAAGTTTTTGGGTTCAGTTTCGGCACTAATGTTCAAGACATATTGCCTATAGGTGGGTGATAGATGGTCATAAGAAAGGAATTGAGAGATGGGATAGGCTGTAGAAACAGGAAGATCAACATTGTTATAAGACTGAGATTTTGTCAAATAACAATGATAATCTGTCAAATAAGAAGGTGGTTTTGTTTGTCTTTTTGGTCTGTGAAGAGTAATGGTAAGGTTGTCAGAATCATGTGAGGGAGCTTCTGAAACAGGCAATAACCTTGTATCAGAAGTCTGAATGGGTATGTCTGGTAATGAAAAAGGTAAGATAGAATTTGGAAACGGGTTTAAACTCTCTGTTTGGGTTGAATCATGGCTTGGTATGGATGCAAATGGGAATATGTGTTCATGAAACACAACATTACGGGATATAGTAATTATATTAGTGTCAAGGTCAAGAATTTTGTACCCTTTGTATCCTGGAGCATAGCCAATGAACACCGAACCTTTTGCTCTAGCTGAAAACTTATGTCGATCTGTAGTTAATGTTGAAGCATAGCATAGACATCCGAAAGTTCTCAGATGCGAGTACATATAACTAACTAACAGATTTCTAAACAGATTGTAACTGTTTCATATACTAATATACCCCCCTCAAGCTTGAATCGACTGCAGCTTCAGGGAGATACAAGCTTGAAATATGAAACTTCGACATTAGAACAGAAAACACCTGTGGCTGTAATGACTTCGTCATAACATCAGCTAACTGATTTTCTGTCTTCACATGCATCATCCGTAAGAAACCAGATTGAAGCTTGTCGCGAACCAGATGGCAATCAATGTCAATATGCTTCGTCCGTTCATGAAAAACTGGATTCGAAGCGATGTGCATGGCGGATTTGTTGTCACAAAAGAGATTGGCAGGTCCTTCCAAGGAAATCTGAAAATCTGCCATCAAATTTGTTAACCAGATTAACTCACAAGTAGCATTAGCTAATGATCTATATTCTGCCTCTGTGCTGCTCCTCGAAACCGTAGTCTGTTTCTTTGATTTCCATGAAATCAAAGATTCTCCCAGAAAAATACAGAACCCAGAAACTGAGCGTCTCGTATCAGGACATGTTGCCCAGTCTGCATCCGCAAAAGCATTGAAACGAAGAGCTGAAGATGCAGAATAAAACAGACCTTGCCCGGGGTTGGTTTTCAGATACCGCACTACCCTCTGCGCCGCTTGCATATGTATATCTGTTGGAGCTGATAAAAACTGGCTAAGCTTGTGAGTGGCAAACGTAATATCTGGTCTGGTTATGGTTAGGTATAATAACCTTCCCACAAGACGTCTATAACTTGTTATGTCTTCAAGAGGAGTTCCAGCATCTTTACTCAAATGCGTATTTGCATCAAGAGGTGTAGATACTGGTTTACATCCCAATAAACCTGAATCTGAGATTAAATCCAGACAATATTTCCTCTGACACAGTGATATTCCCTTCCTTTGTCGTGCTATCTCCAATCCAAGGAAGAATCTCAAATCTCCCAAGTCTTTAATCTTGAATTTCTGTCTCAGTAGGTCCTTTACTTCTGAAACTGCATCAACACTGTCACTAGCAATAACAATGTCATCCACATATACCAGTAAAGCTACAAAACCAGATTTTGAACGTCTCACAAATAATGTGTGATCGGCTTTGGACTGCTTGAAACCATCTTCGAGCAGAACACTTGCAAATTTATGGTACCATTGTCGACTGGCTTGTCGCAACCCATATAGAGATTTCTGTAATTTGCAGACTGCATCCCGAGGCATGTTTCCAGATTGTGCATCAGTATAACCTGGTGGCAGAGACATATAAATCTCCTCCTCAAGGTCACCATGTAAGAAAGCACGGATTTGTTGTCACAAAAGAGATTGGCAGGTCCTTCCAAGGAAATCTGAAAATCTGCCATCAAATTTGTTAACCAGATTAACTCACAAGTAGCATTAGCTAATGATCTATATTCTGCCTCTGTGCTGCTCCTCGAAACCGTAGTCTGTTTCTTTGATTTCCATGAAATCAAAGATTCTCCCAGAAAAATACAGAACCCAGAAACTGATTTGTGACAACAAATCCGCCATGCACATCGCTTCGAATCCAGTTTTTCATGAACGGACGAAGCATATTGACATTGATTACCATCTGGTTCGCGACAAGCTTCAATCTGGTTTCTTACGGATGATGCATGTGAAGACAGAAAATCAGTTAGCTGATGTTATGACGAAGTCATTACAGCCACAGGTGTTTTCTGTTCTAATGTCGAAGTTTCATATTTCAAGCTTGTATCTCCCTGAAGCTGCAGTCGATTCAAGCTTGAGGGGGGTATATTAGTATATGAAACAGTTACAATCTGTTTAGAAATCTGTTAGTTAGTTATATGGCGGTTTATACAATCGGAAGTGTATTTAACATCTGTACAGAAAAAACAGAGTAATACAACTGGAGAAATTTTTCATTCTCTCTGCTCAGTTTTCTCTCTCGTCTTTCTCTCTCTGGGTTTTCCGGTCATCTTTCCGGCGAAACCTGAAAGTTCTTTTTAAGAATCTAATTTTTGTGCATGGGTATCTCAAAGATTTGTGTTTTCCTTTGAATCTGACGATTTCCGTGCGCTGGATCTTGGAAATGGAAGGGTATTGCTTATTCGGTGATAGATCTTTGGTATTTCACGGAATTTTGACAATTTCGAGGTTTCGAATCGGATTTTCTCGGCACCCAAACAGAGATGTGGGAACTCTCTGAGTTGGAATCGATTTGTTGTCTTGCTTTTAGTCCCCTGATGTCTGGTTTGATATCTGCTCCTTGGATCTGTTTGATTGTTTCGTATATCACGCATTCGTCTCGATGTTTGTGTCATCTTATCTTCGGCGATTCATCATTCCAACACATTTAACAGGAAAGGATGATTAAACTTCCTCTTACCAAATTCCGACGGTGATACTGAAAATTGTGTTTATGGCATTGTAGTTCTTCAGATGGATGACGATGGGTTTCGCAACTGGGGTTACTATGAACCGGCGAATTTTAAATTCAGTCTTGGCCTGCAATTCATGCCCACCGTTGATCGGAACACCAAGCCGCAATTGCCGGGTCGCGACCCGAATCTGATGACTGGCCCGGACGGACCCTTTCACACGCGAGACTACGTTGTGTCCGAAACCCCAATCCCTATGAACTACGCCTGGATTAACCAGCACAAGGACAAGTTCTTTAACATGTTGCCGCCGAATCACGGCAATATGCTTCCAGAAACTTCTGGATCCCCGTCCATGCAGTTTCTGCACCCTCCCTTGGATGTTGGGAATCGGGTCGAGGAAAACCCGATTCCCGACGACGAGGAAATCGCTCAGGCGAAGAAGAGAAAACCGGGTGGGGATTCAAAAGGCACCAAAAAGAGGAAGAAGCCATGGAAACAAAAGGACGGCAATGGAAACGAGAGCAATGAGAGAGTGAAACGAGTGAGACAGGCTAAGAAGAGTGCAGTAGATGTGGTGATCAATGGAGTGAGTATGGACATTTCCGGTCTGCCTGTTCCAGTGTGCACTTGTTCAGGATCTCCTCAGCAGTGTTACAGGTGGGGATGTGGCGGCTGGCAGTCGGCCTGTTGCACTACGAACATATCGGTGTACCCTCTCCCGATGAGTATGAAGCGGCGTGGGGCCCGGATTTCGGGCCGGAAGATGAGCCAAGGCGCCTTCAAGAAAGTTCTGGAGAAACTTGTAGCCCAAGGTTTCGACTTTTGGAACCCCATCGATCTGAGGAGCCGTTGGGCGAGACATGGTACCAACAAGTTCGTCACCATCAGATAGAGTATTGTTTTTTTTTCCTCGTCTCATGGATCTTGAGCTTTCATGGCTTAGAGTCATGCATGTTTGGTACTTGTGTCTGTCAGTGTCACTGTTGTTTGTAAGAGAGAGAATTCTGTAGGGAATTTAATAAAAGAGGTCCACTGATATGTAACGTATGTTTTCCTTTTCTAATGAAATTACCTTCTACTTGCCATGTTTATTATTCGAGCAAGCGTGTTCAGACATCATTTTTAATCCATTTCAGTTTGAAAGTCTATCATACGAGAATCTTGCACCGAATCTATACGAACAGATCCGTGGATTAGAGAGATCACACGATTAGAGGCTAATTTCTATTAACATCTTAATTAGAGGCTAATTAAATCCGGAATCCTTTCTCTCCCTGAAGAAACATTCCCATGTTCGGCATCTCCTACCAGATTTTCCCTCGATCTCCCTTCTAGCTGCTCTTCTTTCTCCACGCGTGCGGCGACGAGCTTCGCGAGCACTGTGACGTCTGCTTCTGGAATCCTTACGAAATCTGGGATCTCGCCAGCTTTTGGTACATTGAATTCTTGGCAGAATTCGAAGTACTTGGTGAGATCTTCTGCTTGCGATATGGATTTGGCGACGATCCTCAACGCCATTTCCGCTTCCGGTTTCCCCGTCTTCGAGTGAACCTTGGGCAGAGCTTCCGCCATTCCGATGCAAATCCGACCGTAGACCTCCACGATCTCCGTGATTACGTTATCCATGGCGTCGATTATCAGAGGCGTCCTCATATTCTCCGCGATCGGTTTGATTCGCATCAACGAATCGACGAGATCCTGCATATTACGGATGATCGCGAGCTGGATCATGACCGATGATTCTTCAACTTGCCGGTGAAGAAGGTTCGAGTCGTGGAAGAGGATCGCTCGCTGGTCCAGGAACTCGAAGTAAGATCGTACGAAGTGGTTGAATCCGGAGGATCTGGTCAGCAGCGAACGTGTCTCGCCGAATCCAGAGAGATCGAAAGGCAACCGTCCGATGGAGTTCGCCGCCGGGACCTTGTCGAGGAAGAAGCCGTGCACCAGCATCAGCCCCTTGAGAGCCACCGCCCAGCTGTGCGTGCCGTCCACGCGCGAGGAGATGGCGCATGTGAGCGGTCTGAGGCTCCAGGGGGATGTCCGTACGCACCGGTAGATGAACTCGGCTTTGCCGGAGTCCATGGAGAGCTCGTCGTGGCTCATCGCCTTAACGACGGCGATCTTAAGGCAGTCGTCCGCCACGATGAGGCTGTTGCCGTCCTTGAGAGCTCCGGCGGCGCGTCGCAGCCATAGGTTCATCTTGTCCTTCAAGGTTGAGTAATTTAATCCTTTTTTATATGGATTTTAAATTAATTTTTTTGGGATGAACTTATGGGCATTTAAATTAAAATGATGAGAAACTAATTTTGAGAATCACGCATCAAAGTTAACAACTCAGGGTTTGTTGGGTCCCCCTTCCCCATTTTTCCACGGCTGATTTCTCATCACAATCCCTGGCGGTTTCAAGATTAGGTTTGTTACACTAATTGATTCGGATGTTGTGGGCTTTGTGACCATTTTTCCTCTGGACATCTTGTTTAATCACCGGGTTGGTTTAAGGTTGCAACAAAAAGGCCCAAGCGTCGCATTTCTTTTTCGGCCACATGCTTTCTTGTTTTTTTTTATTCGTTTAGAAACCGAGTCAACTCGTGACGAGTTATGAACCCGACGTACCAGTCCAAGCCTGGTCGCGAGTTATTCCGATTTAACATTTTAAGTTTTATTATGCATTTTATTTATTCTTAATATCACACACACACACACACACACCCCCAAGGTTTGGTGTCGGGGAGAAAGAAAGAATAAAAAATGTAGGAAGGTGTGCTGAACGCATTTGGGCTTTGGTAGAAGGCCCAGATACCGCTCAAAGCTCTGTCTCTCAGCGAGGGGATTCAAGCCCTTGGAATTGCCAAGTATGAAATTGAGTTTAAATATTTTATGAAAATTTAGCAGCTGTATATTTGTGTATATTGCCCGCTAATATTTACAAGAACAAACGGCTCTTAGATTTAAAGAAAAAAAAGTGCTTTTTTTTTTTTCACTTGCGGCTTGCTTTTGCCTTAACGCCCGGCTTTAATTTCTTTTTCATGAAATCTAAAGTATTAGTATTGGCTTTATTGAGTGATATCATTAGGGCAGAAGAGCAAGAGCCGCGGTTTCATGCATGCCCTTTAATACGCATCTCCAGTCTTCTTCAAATCCAAGAATGAGAGGAACGATGAAAAAGACATTAAAGAAAGTGAAGAGAGTATGCATTTTCAACAACAGATGGCATTCCCTTTTGTTAAAACCAATAATCTGTCTCAAAACCATTTCCTTTCCCAATGAAATGCGATGTTTTTCGAAAAATGATTTTCGTGGAGACAAGTTGGCGGAAACGAATTTGTAACTGATATATATAGTCTCGATTTTAATGTTGTGTGTCGGTGCCCAATTATAATAGAAGATCACATGTTTTCATTTTTCGAACGAACCATATCATCACCCTGTCTCGAAAGATTCTTCAACCATCACAATACGGTAAAAATTTTTACAAAAAAACAAAGATTTTACAGCGTAAACTATTACTTTGTTGAGTAAAAAAAAAAAAGAGGGATGGTTTAGGAATCTTGCTGCGTCTCATCTTTTCACTGTGGGGGTGGAGGGAGGGGTCAAAAATCCCTCCTTTTCATGCAAACCTCTCTCTCTCTCTCTCTCTCAATCTTTTTGTTTATTTTTGCCCCTCACTTTTTCTTTTTTTTTTCACCCTTTAAACGCATAAATCCATCAACAACACTTTCCTCTTATCTCTCTGCAGTTTCTCAGCTTCTTCCTAAGCTCATGGACTACTTTGATTCAACGTTGAGCTCTCCAGTTTATGTTTTTAGCAATTTGGTCGATCTTCGAGATTCGGGCGTTACGGTATTCCTTGAGATTGCATGCACGGAATCCTTCGTTAAATTAATGTCTCTAAACTTGGGTCTTTGTAGGGCAAGGCGGGGAATGAGGAGACGAGAGAGATGGAAGACGAGGGAGTGGATAATGATTTCGAGGTTGAATTGGACGTTGAGTTCTGTCCAGTTGAGCATCCGGTCGAACCTTATGACGAAGACCGCCCCGTCAAATGCCCCGTACCCATCTCATCTTCTGTTATCCATGTACGTACCCTATATATATATATATATGTATATTATCTCATTAATTCTCCATTTAATTATCTTTATTATCCAATTAATTTGAACTTTTTTTCATGTATGTTTTTGGATAATTAGACTATCGGACCCGTTGCATACAACTAATCTTTTTGTTTTTTATATCGTGGGGAACCCTAATCTTGGTTGAAAGTGAAACTATTTTGTATAATAACGTGCTAAATGATAAAATGTGATTATGCATTGTAACATTATCGTTGTGGTAGAACGAACATAAGGTGGAGAGGACAAGAGAGGTTAGAGAGTCGAACCTACTACGCAAGGACCAAACGACCGAGGCTCTGTCACGTCCGATCCGAGTCGTGAGGAAGAGGCACCACACTTTCACCGGCAGAAACGACGTCGCCATGGCCCCTACGAGAGTCCCAACACTCCAAACTCCAACCATATCTCAGGAATCCAACCTCACAATCTATCGAGTTGTCGTCAACGAGTTCGAGTCCCAAATCTAACAAACTCTATAAGATTTGATCGACTGTTTCTTGAAATACCCTTTTCCGTATCGCATCATATAATTTGTTTCTTTCCTTTTTTTAATTTGTTTTTTTACCAGCGGTTGATTGTTAATCACACTGCCTAGTTTTGTTGGTGAAACGTAGATGGAGAGCGTACCAAAGTTGGTATAGTTACCACCGTTAGTCAGTAAAATCAAGTTTGGTTCGTTTCCTATTTGTGAAAAACATAATTCTATATTAAGCAGAGAATGAAGAAAGGACAAGAGAGATTATGGTAAAAACGTAAATTTTAATTACTTTATTTTAAAAGGGCCAAAAGAATGTTTGGTTTGGGCTTTATGTGGACAGTATGGGCCATGTCTTAGTGGACCTTCTTAAGTGTACAAAGACAATGGGACCCATGTATCACCAAAACCAAACATACACCGAAAAGGTACGTCTTAATATTATTGTTTTTTAAATGAGAAATACAAACGATGACCACCCATATCCATTTACTAAAACCACTTGCATTTTAATTATCAAACCATATCTCTTTCTTTCAATGAAAACAAACATTAAATTAGTTAGGATAATTTTATTATTTCGTATTCATATAATGATTTTATCATTTCATATTCATATATTAACACCCAATTGCTGGTGACTCCACGACATACACATAATACCAAAACTATAGTTTGTTCATCCATCCCTCGCCGGTCCATTATTATCGTATAATAATATATCCCTCGTATCTTAGTCCTTTTTATTTTTTAAGTTGCCATTATTTTGTGGAAAATTAATTATTAATGATCGACCAATCGCCATAGTTTTCCGGCCATTATAATCTTTACAATATGCATTTGTTACTTAATCATGAGCATATTGAAGGGGAAGTAACCTTCCATATAAATCTTTTTTGGAAAACGGCTTTCGGACCATATATAACAAGAATATACTCTGTATAATCCATGCATATATCATACTCTTCATATTCAATAAATAAATAAATAGTTACATGCATAATTGAGCTCTAACAATACATGCGTTATTTTTTTTTTATATACAATTCGAAGTTTTACTAAACTCTAATCAACAGATCAAATACTATAATAATAATAATAATATATTCAGCCCTTGAAAACATTTGGATGCGTCTTATATTACATAGGAATCAACGAGTGGTCCGTCGAGTGTGTTTCAAGCGGGTTTGTTCTTCTCTCGAATCTATCGGATAGAAAAAAATTACGAAAATATGAAACGTCAACCTCTACGGTAAATATTGCTTTGACCGGTCTATGGTCAGATATCTTTGACTCTCCTCTCGTGTATGCATGCTGCTTCAGTCCATTGCCATGCCAAATTATCCGATCGCACCTATATGTATATAAAAACGGTATTATAAAAAAAAAACACTATGATTCGATAACATTCTTGGTAATGGATGAATTGTTAATTATCTTGTAATATATAATATTATAGACATCACTGTACTTACCATGCCGGAGATCGTTTTTTCTCTTCTTTATTATCGTGTTTAATGCATCCGTAATATACGTCCGAATTTGGAATATATTTATATGTCGGAGCGAATTTCACAAGTCCTTCTTGCCATCCTCGGAATATATGCCCATTCATGATCTCCATACTCAGCTTTAATTCATTTCAAATAATGAATTACATGATGAACGAATAAGCATATCATCCCAACTCCAGATCTTTAATTAATTAATGTAACGTTTTAAAATATGAAAATGGAAAATATATTGATAGGAACCTGATCATTTTCGAGTAAGATGTCCCATTCTTGTCTTTCCACCAATAACCTCGTCTTCTCCTCCGGCAGCGAAATTCTATAATTCAAATCTCCCAGTAAAACCACTCGGCTGTCTCGTTTTGATCCAAAATAGAAAAACAAGAACACGTAATTTATTAGCTGCTTATATTAATATGTCAATTATCATGTTGATAAAAAAAAAACTATGAAGGAAAAGACATTTGCAACTTCCTTTATTCACATTAATTGATCGCCGTGTTTCATTCATATAGTCAACCGGTCAACTTGCTTAATTAATATATATATGTGCATTTCTAGTCTGATCGTTAATATATAATTTCTAGGCTTTCGGTTGGTTCAACACTCGACCTTTTAACTATTAACAAGTAGTTGGAAGTCTTATTTAAACTAAATGTTCTACATATATGTCAGGAAATTTTTATAAAGAAAAAAAAAACAGTGGACCGACCAAGAGGAATCAGAGATTAATTCATTAAATTATGTGTCTGTTGGTATAATAAAGCTTACTCGTGATCCATAATCTGTTTGGGCAAATCGAGTGAAGGGCCTCTTGGAAAGCTCGATCTTGCCAAGATCTCAGTGACGTCGGAGTTCCTTTGCTTTCCATCTTTGTCGCGGCCGCCGGAGGCAAGGTGGCCGCACACGAAGCAAAAACTCGTCTCGTGCAAGTGAAATCTAACAGACACCGCTCCCTGCGTTTCCAAACGCCATAAATGTATTCTCAAACATATTTAGCCTGAAACAGTAAATACTAAAACCCTAACTAGTGCAGGTTACTAAACAAGTCAATATTATTGCATGCGTCTTATATATAGAATAAATATCCGGGGCCTGGAATCCATCGAGGTGAACAAAATTTTAAATATGCGTGATTATTATAAGTTTGATGATCATAATTTACACGATTTTTATGAAAGAAGTATTAAACATGGATCTGCGTATTGGATTTTAGTTTTGTTCATGAGGTTTGTACTGATGTGTATGTGTGTGTGTATATTGTATGAGGTAAGTTTAGACTCCGATCATGTCATGGACAGATTACAGATTTTATTTGTGTACATGTTCTTGCCTTGATTGCCTTCTAAGGAGTCCTACACATTCCACACATCCCACTAGGATATGACTAAAATGGAGAATTTCAATACTACAACGCGTCAAATAATATAAATATTTTAATCTCTAATTTATTGTTATTCAAAATAAGAAAAAAAAAACTTACCTTGTTTCCTAAACAACCCATGACCCCACATCCAACACAAGAGACGCTAGGATGACTGACGAACGGCCGGAGATCGTTCCGGACCCAGACGGATATCAATATTCCGACCATCTGTTTGCTTATGATACACCGGAAATCTTGTGAAATACCGTTAATGCCCTTTGACTCCGACAAGCCTCCCTCCCGATGACGTGCCCTCTTGTTCAGAGCCTCTCTTATCAACGAATTCCATTTCGCAGATACTTTGTTGTTTTCCGACCCAAAAACACTTGAAGCTCGAAGAGGCACGATCTCTTGAAACCTAATACATGTATTAAGACATTCATACATACATACATATATATATAAATATGTCATGCATACCATAAAGCAAAATATATGGTATAGTATTATTTTGTGCTTCTTTTGTTAATTACCCGGTAACGTATATGTCACATGGGGTTTTACGTGTTTCCAGTAGATCTTCCAATTCAAGCCCGTCCTTCGGCGCGATGCCACCAACATTCCATGTGCTAACGAAAACTCTAGAGACAGATATTTCACGAGTTAGAAAATGCAAACGATTTCATATGATATATATGATATGAAAATATATTGTGTGGAAGGACATGTTAGCCAATACCTGTAGTTGTGTGTGGTCTTTCGAGGATCAAAGAAAGAGGCGTCGGAGGTGTAGGAAGGTCGGTTGTCTAATGTAGAAGCTTCCAGAAGCCTCTCTGTGTTGGTTGGGAAGTCGGCGACGAAGTTATTGCTCCCCACTCTCTTCCTTAGAATCTTGTTGGCCACGAGCCTTGGCCACATGACCTTCAGTCGACAATATATCGATTCAAATTAGCACCAATACCATATGTTTCATGATGTTCGCAAAAAGAGGGTACGACATGAAGAACTAGTACTCACTTCTCCGTAGCTTCCCAACATATAGATACATACAGAGAGAGAGAGGGATCACGAAGACGCCATGCCACCAGAACAAGTTACGGGGAGGAGATATATATATATAGAGAGAGATGCCCATGCACGCGCCGAGGGAGAAAGATGGTGAAAAGGTGACGTGGAAGACGATTATTATATCCTGTGGTTAATTATTATTGAATTCTTCTAATTTTTATATACGAATCATTCGATATAATAACTAAGGGGAAAAAAACTTTGGACGAAACGAAGGCTGTTGATTGGTCATTTCCGACACTGTTTTATTTTTAACCCTTCAATTCGGGCCCTGCTAGCTTTCATTTGCTAATCAACTAGCGTCTCAATTCCGGAATTGTTTCTTTATATAAACATTATCGATTTCTTTTTCCAATGGAATATTATAATATAAGCATGTATACATTTTTTTTAAATTATATGGCAATGTGAAGTTATCTACTCGTATATACTTTCCTCAGGTAGGGAAATATATGATATTTGTTCTAGTTTAATTCCTCGGTTTAAATTGGACTAAGTCAAGCTTCCTTATTAGTATATATAAAAAAACAAAATCTTGATATATTCTCCATTAATTCCATATTTTTAGCCTTGTAGTTTGAATGGTGGCCTCTCAATTTTATTGATTATTTTATGTTTTGAGGTAAGGGTAAATACTTAGCGATATATATTCGTCTCCGGTGCAAGTGACGCCATCGGATTATTTCTATGGACTAAAAAATTCCATAAGTTATATACTAGTATGATGCTGCAACAGTATCCAACCTAACCACAAAATGGGGAAACAATATTAATGTGTAACTTGTATATAATAATCACAGGCACTCGTAATTCAAAACTTTTTTCTCATATTATTTCAATACGTTATAATGAAAAATAATATTATATGTTGCATTATTGAATATTCTTTTCTTGCAAATTGCATGAAAAAAAGTTCGGTCTCTATCTTGCAATTTGAAGTGCAGCCCACAAAAACCATATGTGTCCAATGACACCCAACCGTTCTGGATGGTGACTCCGGCCAAAGGAAATTAAAATAATATTGGATCGTGTACAAACTTTACAAATAATATTTTAATACTATAGTTTTCTGTATTGTTTGTCTACGAGGGGAAGACAAATGGATCATGCCAAGCTATTTTCATAAAAGAAAAAACATAATGTTTTCCCGTAATTTGTATAAAACAGGGAGGATATTTTATTTCCGTCTAGCGAATAATTGTTGCGTTTTTTGTTTGACTATTTAAAATATTCGGACATGCGCATAACAGCTAAGTAATTGAACTGATGTGTTACGTCCGGTTTCGAAAATCCTCTAACTCGTTTCTGATAATGTCCTCAATTTGTGTATGTGTGTGTATACATATATATATATATATATATTATAAACGATCAAATCTCTTGGCATCTTTTTTAGTGGAGTAAGACTAAGGATAATTCTTGCTTTTTTTATTGAACTTAACCAAAATATACGTGTTTACTTTTGGTAAAACGGAACGGGGCGTCGGTGAAATCCTCTAGTTTCCCGTTTCATAAGTGTATGTAACTGTAGCTTTTAAAATTAATTACTGGTTGATTAGTTAATTAATCAAAATTAAATACTAATTTGCCGGTGGAAAGAGACGGAGATTCGGGCATTTATTAGAGTGCTGAGATTCCCGGAAATTGGGAATTAAGAGGCCGCAAAGATATGGGTTGAGATTTTGCGGCTTGATTATTAATAATTGAATGATTAATTATTGGATAATTAATCAGCTAATCTTAAATAAAAGGTTTTGTTTCTGAGGTCAAAGATTCCCTATTTAAGTTAGTTATTTAGTTTGCTAATTTACGTTGAAAGCAATTAAAACTACGCTTGACTGTTCCGTATTTAAATTTAAAATAAATTAAAACGTCGATTATATTTTTTTTTAGTTAATCAAATTTAAATTAGCGACGGGCCTACGGCTGTTTGGCTCCGATTCTCGTCACCGTGTATTCTCTCTCATAATCGTCATGGTCTTTATCCATAATTTCGTGTTTTGTTATTTTTATTTAATAACCAATTTAAATTCATATCAACCACTGTAAGATTATAGACTTTAAATATGTGCTAAATTTATAATTGTATATTTGCTATAAAACCCATTAATTAAATATTTAATCTATAGTAGTGGTTTATAGCCACAACAATTCCACGACCATATGTCACATTCATAATGCACATAGTACGTATATATTTGCAGCATGTCTTTGTATATCTTATAATATTGTATATCTAATAATATATTATAATGATTTTAGCGAAATCATAAAGATAAAAAAAAAACAGTGTAATTAGCCTAACAATTAATATCTTGTAGGTTTTGGATTGGCGCTAGTTAAGAAAAAGTACAAATATTTTAGTAAAAAGAACCAAAGATATTCATGTGTTGTGACTATATAGGCATTACTTTCCCCCCGAAAGATATTTTACCGATATCTTCAGGGTCTTGAAATGTTAAGGATATAATTTGCAATTGTTATATATATTGCATGATTTGCATTAGCAAGTGATTAGTAGTTAAACTATGATTAAGTTGTTTAATCTTAGGGGACCATTCATCGCCTGTTTCAAGCCGTTGGATTTGAGTATTGGGACCATATTTCCTTGATTGGTCGGTTTGTCCCTCATTTTAATTGTAAATCAGTTGTTAACTTAGAAAAGTTTAATGGGTTGCGGTCCAGCTCTCAACCAAATTTAAATAATTTTATTTAGGAAAGAAACATGAGTTTTTTTTTTCCTTTCACAACTCTATTTTATTTGTTTAAATTACAGTATCATTAAACGAATAAGAAAAAATATATGAAAAAGAAAAGAAAAAAAGATATGAAGAAAAAGGAAAAGTAAAAAAAAATACAAGACAGACAAAAAGAAAAAAAAATACTGATCAGTATTTTTTTTGTCACCTATATCTATTCTATAATTGATGAGTACTTTTCTTCCATTTTTTTAATATCACTGAAGTATATAAAAGAAACCCTAGTCATCTAGCAACATTTGCATATGAGTCAAAAGAGAAATACTGGGATCGCTACAAGCATAGAATTTTATGTCAGTGTTCATAAATTCATTCCCAATAAATGTAAATAAAATTCAAAAAATGATAGATTCAAATTAAATACGGAAATCAAATTACATATTTCTATGTATTTTGTGGGTAAGTTACCATAAATGTTATATGGGCCTCTGATCCCTTGGTCCAAAATGGTTCAAATAATCAAATAGTACATATATGGAACTGAAGATAATTTAATAAGTGGGTATTAGCGAGTTTTTGGGCCACGTATTATTTTGACCCATTGTGGAAATCAGGGCCCGTTTTAAAAAATTGTAACGGACTCCGATTTCGTTATGTCAAACCGAATTGCGGTCCGATACGTACTTGACTGGAGTCACGACACATGCATGTGAGACAAAAAAAGAATATCAGAGATCATTCCACATAAGCACACTTGAATACACAGAAAATGTGTAATATATATGCATTTGAAAATATCTTTATTTCAATTCTCATTAAGACCTATGGTTAATTGGTCTATTGTTAACAAATGTCAAATACGTGAATCCTTTCGTATTTTTATCTTATTGCAAAAGATATGGATTCGATTCCGCAGGCCGTGATGATTTTGGGGCATAGAATTGGAATCTCGTCTAGATCGATTTCTGGATAGGTGCATGGTTATATGTGGATGGTTTTGATGGGATTTATAAACCATACAAACAAGATACATATATAATATCACTATACTCTCTCTCTCTCACACACACACATGCATTATATATATATATATATATTCAAATTCCATGCATAATTGCAAAGGATAGGATTCTACAATTATTGAGCAAATTTGGAAGTTTTTGCATACACTCACATGCCTCGCCTTCCGTATATCTAAATCGTCATATCATTTCCAGTATGCATTTGCTTGAATATACTAAATAGTATGTACAATAACTAGACTTGATTAGAAAGAAGGGATATGCAATTGTTTAACAGATTGAGATTTCATTAAAAAAAAGAAGAGGGTAATATCTTTCGATTTCGCATAAACAAAATTGACGAAGGAACGCTGCAGTTGGGCTCTGCCCATGCAGTGGGAACTGATGGGAGTTTTGTCGGAATCGCAAGTGATTGAACAAATCGAAAACTGCTTTGCCACGTAGCTCCTCTACGGATCACACACCCCTAATCCCCATCCATCTCCTGTTTAATTACTTATCTTTATTAATTCAACCAAATCCACAGCAACTGTCACTTCGGTGTCATTATTTTATATGCTGTCATTATTCCTTTTGCTTTTATAAAGCTCCTCTGTATTTTTTTCCTTCATGATACATATACACAATATACAATGCGTATTTCGTAACATTTAACGAACTAAACATGATTTGTTGGGTTACGACAACGTAAAAAACGTAGTCGTGACGGAGGGGATGATTCTAGTCATTGCAGCGTTATTGAATCTTATGTTTCATTAATATCAGGATTGACTTAATATTAAACATTAGGCCCAAGAGTTTCCTCACTCCATTCCAACAATTTAATTTCAATATCGAAGTAATCAACTAAATTTATCTGCATAAATTTGATTTGAACGTTACATATTTATAGACTTTTTTTTTTATCTCGTTTCCTTTAATTTCTTTTTATTATAATTTCAATTAGTTGGTTAATCATGGTTCATAAACCGCATCCAGCATCTGGATACCAAAAGGTTTGATATTAAAGTTTCTTAAATTATGGCAGGTGATTTAAGCCTTACATCTTTTTCTTTTTTTATTGCCAAGAGAGCTTATATTTACACGCAACAAAATACACCGTATCCTTATTTGTGTTTGTCTCCCATTAATTCTCGTCGTACCTTGCCAACCTCTCTCTCTCTCTCTCTCTCTCTCTCTCGATGGGAGAAAACATAATGCGAAATGTATTTTGCCTTGTGAGTTTAGTCGTTGTACTGTCCGTGGGTAGTTCGAGGGCGAATCTCCGACGGGTGGAGCAGCCGGCGAAATCTGGCGGCTCGCTGAGCTTTCTGGTGGTCGGAGACTGGGGAAGAAAAGGCTCTTACAATCAGTCCCATGTTGCTCTTCAGGTACATACATACATACACACATGTTTGTCTTGCAGATTCATTCAAGTATATAAACCTTTACCTCAAATCGGACAAAAAAAAAAGGGGAAAAAAAGAGAGAGAGAGAGCGAGGGCTCTTTTTTCTGTATCACCGAAACTGGTCGTGAAGTACTTTCCATGTTTGATTATAATCAAATTCGTCCCACTAGTCTACACACACATATACATATACACGGAGACCTATTTTTCCCGTGGAAGTAGAGTAAACTATAAAAAAATAACGAAAAATTGAATATTTGATAAAATTTGAAACCTACTCTCGTACAGATGATAATATTAACTATATGGGCAACGGGTGTTATTTATTACTCGTACTCAACATTTTTCTCGTGACCGTATATTATCAGGATGTAGGGCGTAGACGTACACGTCCATTTACTAACACCTGCTAAAATAAAATGTATAAGAACAAATACATCCAGCTTGATTTTTTTTGCATCTGTATATTTTTAGTATAACATAATAAATTTCGCATTGAGAATAATCAATACAAATCTCCTTTCTAGTTAGACAAAACACAAGAGCGTTCTAATCTATTACAATGAATCGCAATGAACAATTTGTGGTTTTCACGTAATTATAAAAATTTGATCTCAAATTAAAATATTTAAGGAGTAAGCGGTAAATATCTGCTCAGGCATCGTGATAATGACTGTTTTTGAATACTATTATATATGTGTGTGTGTGTGTGTGTGTCGGAGAGTTCAATCGAAGGCATATTCCAATATTATTCGCATGAATGGGGCCGGTGGGGACGTGAAGGCAAAGTCATATGAAGCATGTGGTCTTAAACCTTCCTTATTGATAAATCTCGAAAGCAACCAGAAACAATAACAATGGTAGGACCACTGCCTTATTTGCCACTTATCAATATTTATGGAATTTTGTTATTATTGTCAATTAAACGGTCCACCATTCAATCGGTTTCATTTAGTAATAAGTATCGATATTGGACATTTTGACGCAAAACACGCCATTAGCATCTGTAATTTCGTTTGGATGGCTAAAATCAATGCTGTTTTATGGGAAATTTTGTTGTAAAAGTGTCATTATTTGGGTATTATTAGATGGGAAAAATCGGAGAAAAATTGGACATCGACTTCGTCGTTTCCACGGGAGACAATTTCTATGACGATGGACTGACGGGTATCGATGATCCTGCGTTTCACGATTCTTTTGTCAACATTTATACGGCTCCTAGCTTGCAGACGCCATGGTATACCGGTACGGTTTTTCATTTTATCGTTTTAATTATAGCGTGATATATATTATTGTAATATTGTTTGCTTATAAATGCTTCATGGGTTCAGTCTTAGGAAACCATGATTATAGAGGTGACGTCGAGGCACAACTTAGCCCCACTCTCAGGGCCATCGACAACAGATGGATTTGCATGAGATCTTACATCGTTAATGCCGGTACGTCCTTAAATTCAAATTATCATTAACAAATAACAAAAAAATCCCCATCTTTATTATGATGTTCTAATTCACAAAATCACATCTAATCCGTTTTTTTTTTTCTTTTTAAGAAATCGTCGATCTGTTCTTCGTGGATACGACACCGTTTGTGGATAAATATTTTATCAAACCAAAGGACCATGTCTACGACTGGAGAGGTGTGTTACCTCGGAAAAAGTATCTGAAGAACCTCTTGATGGTATAGTAGTAATTGATATGAAATTAGTTAATCTTGGCGATTATGCCCTTAATGACGTCATCAGTAACCTCGGTTAATCTTGGAAGCGATCTGTATATGTAGGATGCCGACGTGGCATTGAGAGAGTCGGTGGCACAATGGAAAATAGTGGTGGGTCACCATACAATTAAAAGCGCAGGTCACCATGGCGTCACGACAGAGTTGGAGAAGCAGCTTCTACCTATTCTTAAGGTGTTTTATATTTTAATATGATGCTAATAATGCACCGGTGTTAATTAAATATGTGTTTTAATTAATTAGTTTTATTGAAAATATTAATTAGGCAAACGGAGTGGATCTCTACGTAAACGGGCATGACCATTGCTTGGAGCATATAAGCAGCAGTGACAGGTAGTCGAAGCAAAGTGATTTGATTGATTAAATTGAATTTTAATTAAACGATTCTCTTGATGATTAATTGAGTAGAGATGATTCGCTTACACGGCATGTTAATTCTGTCGCAGTAGAATGGGGTTTTTGACAAGTGGCGGTGGGTCAAAGGCGTGGAAGGGGGACATGAACAAGTGGGACCCGCGAGAAATGAAGTTTTACTACGACGGGCAAGGCTTCGTGTCGGTTCAGTTGACGGTAGGAGAACTGCGCGTCGTTTTTTATGATGCTTTCGGCCACGTTCTGCATCAATGGAGCACGTCCAAAGAACTTTACTCGGCCGTGTAGGCCTCTCTATATACGTTACTGAATATCTGAGGAAAGAAGCCATTAAATCAGTCCTGTAAAATTCATTTATAGCAATTCTGTGGTGTCTTTTGTATTTTCACGTTGTAACTATTATTGCTTCATGTCGTACAACCGCGCTTATCAATAAGAGCGTTATATTGTTGGTCCGAAGGCAAACTCTTAGCTTAATCCGGTTCATTACCATTCATTAATAATATGGGAAAATGACATTTTCCTATACCAACTTTGCAAAATGTGAATTTTTCCTACACGAATTTTTAATTTGACAAAAAACTACACCAAATTATCAAATGTGACAAATTGATACACGAACTACCCAATTTAACTGCAATTTCCTACACAATCCGAAAACGGTGTTAAGTGTCCGTTAACCGCTGATGTGGCACGCCACGTGGCGGCTGACGTGGCACGCCGCATAGATTTTTTGCCACATCAGCATGCCACGTCATATTTTTTAAAAAAATTCCAAAAAATATGAAAAAAAATCGATTTTTTTTTAATTTTAAAATAAAATAAATAAATAGCAATATATATATATATATATATATATATTCATATATATTCATATCTATATACAAATAAAAATATAAATATATATAC